TAATAATAAAATAACCTAACCTTTGGAGGGAGTTGTAATGTATATAAAATAATGTAAACAAGAAGATGATCCCACGGGCGTGTAAAATTCAACTCACGCAGCATTCCCAGCAGCGCGTGTGAACTGTATGTTTTCCCGTTTCTTTTACTTCTCTCAAAACAATAATATACCTCACTTAGTCGGACTAAAATTTCGCTAACGTCACTAACAATATAAGCCTCAAAACTTAATCCAAGGCGGTTAAGTTCTGAGGCCATATTGTTGGAGACTTTAGCGACATTTTAGTAATTTTTCAGCGTATTTAAGTGCAAAGCTGGACACAGGACTGGATTCTTCAAGTTGCGCCAGCTAGCATTCGTTTCTTGTAAGTTGTTCATACTCATTACTGCGGCAGATGGTCTCGGAAAGGTCAATACTCATTTTAAATTTTAAGTTCTATATACCCAAACAAATCGTACAAATATTCCGTCTAGGAACCAAAGTTCAAGTACCGTAATTGATTCCGTACTAAGTGCGCACGTTTCTTACTCGTAACTCTTTTGTTTAAGCTCAATGTTCATATATACATAAATTATGGGGTAGTACTAAGCATTAAGAAATATCCGTGGGAAAGATCAAAATATATAATTTAATCATTTATAGACGACCTCGACTCGACGGGCGAGCGTTACAATAAAAAAACGCATTTTGATTCAAAATCACGTTTCTGCTTTGACCCCATTTCTACTTTGACCCCATATCTGCTTTGACCACCTTGACTCCATTACAAAGGAGTCTTCAATAGCCTTAAAACACTTAGTAGATCTAGTAAATAAAAATTTACAAGTGTCAGTAACTGTGTGTTAGTTTGTTTTCCTAGTTCTATAAAAAAAAAACGATAATCTGTTGTGTTAACCGGCCACATTTTGAAACAGCGTCGACTGATGGTGTCGTCGGTTTTGTAGGCCAATGCAATAAAATGATCGCCCTCAGTGATATAAAGCGTTGTAACAATTGAATGATATGCACACATTACATAACGTAAACTACAGAGGGTGTACGGTGCAAAATGAATTTATCATGTTCAGTTTAAAGTTATATTTACAGATTATATACGTCCCACAGCTGGGCACAGGTCAAGGTTTTAAGGTAAGGATATATCCGCTTCGCTGCCCCAATGTGTGTTTGCAAGCTTATTTATTTATTTTTATTTGTCAAACATGCAGGTTTCCTCACAATGTTTTCCTTTACCGCTGATGAAGTGGTAAATCAGCACTTAAAATTGTAATCAACAATTTCATTGGTGCCGTCGGGAATCGAACCTTTTACCTTAACGAACAGAACCTTAACCGCTGCTCGCGTACTATGAAATTTATAGTGAGCGCTTAGCTTAAGCTACCACGGCTGAGTGTGTACTTTGTAATTGCTTATTTAATTAGGGAACGTCTTGATAACTTTCATAAAATTTGTAATTAACAAGGTTTGTATAAAGGAGGATTTTTATATAGGATAGGGTGACAAACGAGCACACAGTCCATCTAATGGTAAGTAGTTGCTGTGGAACATAGACATCTACATCTATCCTCGATTACGAATCAAAATGCAGATGCGTTGTCACCCGTGAGGACTAAGATGGAATGCTTCGTTTCCAGTAAAAAGGGTTTCCGGTTCTCTACACTCACCATACGAAACACAGTAGCATTAAGCTACTATTTTACGCTGGTATTCTGTGAAAGCGTGCTCCTTCTCTGGTCGAGTCAATCCATTCGTGCTACAACTATTTTATTAATATAACTGCAGCATGGCTCTACCACGTATAAAACATTGTGTTTTACCTCTTTATTTTAAATACTTAGTATAGCAAATGAACTTGTTTTTGCGCTCTTAGTTTTTATAACGGTCGCATAATTAGTTTTTCAGTAACCTTAATATTTAAATTACGCAAAAAAATATCCTGAAAATATAAAAGTAATTTTAACATAGGGTAATGCAACTTTTCAATATTATTAAATTTAACCCAGAGTGCAAATTTTTGGATATGTTAATGATTAATTTTCTAATCAATCTCGCTTACAACGAATGGTTTAGAAAGCTTTTGCTTGTTAGCTTCCTTTAGTGACAATAATTCTGTTATATTTGTTAGTTGTTGCCGGTGGCGACAATTTTGAGATAATACGTTAATCCGCAAACACCGTCCCGCGGGATTAAACCAATGAATACAAGGCTACGTAATAAGTAAAACGCATCATTGAAACGGCTATTATCTTCGATACCCGGTACAAATCATTGTCGCCGCGTTGTCGTCGATGCAATGTATTGGAGCCGCTCCATTATGATAGAATGATTACTGGCTGATAGAATGATGGGTCGCATAACGACATGATTACCGCTTGTTTCAGCGGAGCACCGCGTGACTATTTGCGAGGTATAGTTGGCGAAGCGATAGTTCGCGGCTAGACGTTGGCAGAAAATTCAGTAACGCTTGCTGAGTCCAGATAAAACCGCGGCCATGTAACCACGTTATATGAAAGGTATGTATTTTTAAATCTGTTTTTATATTTTTCAGCACAATTTATTTGTTTTACAACAATTATTTTTCCGATAAAAAAATGAACACGCATTTTTATGATGTTTTCACGAGTTAGGATTTATACAAATAATTAATTTTATATACTTCGACATTTCATTCAATGGTTGTATTTAAACCAGCCAGCATTACACTGTCGTAGCTTCTGTCATGCGCGACACTTATTTAAGTTCCGATCAAAGTTTATAATCAAAAATATTTCTTTTATTGCAATTTATTAATTCGATGAACCCATTAGGTATCATAAAATGTTAAATTACTTTTGCAATATATACTACCATTTTTTGTATAGAGAGTCAGTATCATAATAGGCTATGAGGCATTTCATTATAGTCCTCAGAGGTGACACAGCATGTAGCCTGCTTCGCAGAGGTTGATGTACTACAGTACCCATTTACCCTCTTATAAAAAAGTACGTAGGTAGTACATATTAGCTCAATGTTATGATTACAAACAAAATCATCATCATTATCATATTATCAGATATGAACATGGATCTCCAAAAAGGATAAATTTAATAAAAATCTATTTTAATTTAGATTGTTACTAGCTTTTTAACCGCGGCTTCGTGTGGGCTTTAATTTATGAACATCGTTAATACTGCTCAGTGTCAAAATTAGCAAAATATATCACTTGTAGAGCATAGCACCTCTATGTCTGTTTGTCACAGTTTTTTTTTTAAATTGAACTCTCAGACATGTCTCAGACTAAACGTAGATGCTTGTAATTTGGCATAGATATAATATGCTACAAGATTTAAAAAGGATTTTCAGAATTGCATTAATATAATATACGTCTAGAACACCTATCACTTTTGTATATCGGGCATGTCTTCCGATAAATCCTTACCGTAAATTGTCTTGGAATCAGAACTGTGTTATTCTTTATATTTCACTCTTTTATTTGAACATAATAAAATTTAATTTTAATTTTGACAAAATAATGTTGAATTTATTTAATGTTTATTTGCGATATTTGATTCTTATTATTGTCCCATTGAATAATTGATTGGCACCACAAAATAGATGCAAATAATTTTTACGTTCGAATTATTTTTTAACAATCATTTTTTAAATATAATATATATTTAAACACATAACTTTAAGTTATTTATAATATTTAATTTATTATTAACTGAAGGCAAAATATTATACTACTTTTTGTATTTCATGCAATCGTCGGCGTTTTCATAAACGTTAGAATTAATTCTATTCTTTATTTATAAAATAGTATTTAATTGAAATACACTACTTTACCCCGCTTATAACTAACATAATCATATACAATAGAAAATTAACACTTCAAGGAACAAAAATACTTAAACTTTAAGTTCCATAATAGTATTGATGAGTATTCCCGGCCTACTAGCTACCTTCGTACAAAATTTCATGCAAATCTGCCCAGTAGTTTTTTTATGAATCGAGAACACGCAGACACTTTTTATTTTCTTAGATGGCTCCGTGGCGTAGTGCTTGAATTCCGAGGGTTCGAATCCCGCACGGCACAACTATCTTTAATGTTTATAAACACTTATTCTGTGTCTACATGTTTGTCCTTGTGAAATTTACATATGTAAACTGCTTCGAAGATACAGGAGAAAATTCTAGTGGGGATGACGTTTTTGTGGTTTTTTTTTGAATAAAGAAAATTGCATATTATGAAGATGTGAAAAGTATGGTGGGTTATGAGAATTGACGTTGAAATACTGAAATTGTCAATAAACCAAGGGTGTGTTTCCGATATACACTGTGACCACTGTTAAGCGTGACGTCAATTCAGTACTTATACTGTGAAAGCGTATATTTTAGTTTGCTATACTGGTGACTGTTTAAAACGGAACGCAGTCCAGTATATGGTAATCGTCATTTTACGACACTGTTTTCAACTGAAAATATTTATCATGTACACGTTATCTGTTCATCAAGAAAAGATATTATTGGAATGTTGTTGATTTTAAAACTTAATGTCAGAGTTTATATTGAAGAACAATATTAATTAATAATAAACAATTATTCGTGGAAGCTGTTAAATCTCTCGGCGCTATTATGTTTTTGATTACGTGATGAAAGTACTGAGAATACCTTACCTCGAAAGCGCCAGCGCTCACAGTATAAAAATGTCGGCGATTTACAACGTCATATAGTAATTAATAAGTATTGGTAGTCCATAACGGAACGAAGTTTTCACCAGCAAGAGCTCTGAGCAGTGTTCGCAGTTTATATCGGAGCATACCCCTTAACGTACCCTTATCCAGCGCACATTATAAGTAGCATTTAGTTTATAAGATCACTCTAAAACAGTAGTGTCCAAATACTTTAAGTCTCGTACTGTCTCTATCACTAAGTCAAGGTGACTGTGACACCACGAGACTTAACGACATCTTAAAATTGAGTAGCGGCTATATACGTATAGTAAAAGAAGCAAATCTACTTACCCCAGTTAGGAATACATATAGGAAAACGCCAGCGGCCCAGGCGTCCCAGGCGGGTGTCGGCGGCCGACCGAGGACACATTCCGGGGGTGCGAATTCCAACTGAGCGGGCGCGGGGGGGTAGAACATCTCTCACCGTGCTTGCTCCCTTTTCACCCGTTTCCACCGCCGAGCCGAAGTCTACCAGTTTTAACTGGGGTTGTGCCCCGCCTAGTTCTACTAGAATATTTTCCGGCTGTGGAGGAATTCCTTTTAATTATTATTTATTTTAGCTCGTATAAGTACTACGTGAATCGAAGCTCGCCAGTAGTGCTACAGCTAAATGCTTAGCCGATGCCCTGCTTCGAGGTATATGTTACCGAGTCGTCAAATTTCGGCAAGACAACATTAGCATAGGAAGATTTGTTTTGATTACGATGAAAATCAAATATGACTCGTAAACAAAATATGATTGTGGATAGCGAAACTGTTTATATGATCATCATCATTACAACCCACAACAAGTCCATTGCCAAACATAGGCCTTCACCGTAGATTGTCATTCCATCAAGTGGATGCCCTACACTTTATTTATTGGTACGAGGCTGCCACTCGATAATCCTTGTGTACCCCCATCGGTGGTTGGATATATCTATCTATAAAGACTATAATAATTGTTCACTTTAACCGAACTTAATAAGGAGGATAAGATGACTGCACTTTCTACTACTGCAACATAATATTTATGCGATTAGTTTTTTTTTATAGAATTGGATCCCGTGGCCCATAGACATCTACATTTAACCTCGATTAAGAATCAAAACGCAGATGCGTTGTCACCCCCTGGGTCTAAGATGGAATGCCTCAATTCCAGCAAAACGGGTCTCCGGTTCTCTACATTCACCATACAAAATACAGCAGCATCAACCTGCTATTTTACGATGGTATTCTGTGAGAGCGTGGCCCTTTCCCGGTCGAGTAAATTTTTTTTCTTTCCCTTTCGTGTTACAACCATAATATAGATGCAGCGTGGCTCTACCGCGTATAATTTTAACTGATTTAGCTGGTTAATTCAAAACCAAACCTAATGATAATATAATCCGTTCAGTTTGTATTATAGAGTACAATAGTATCATTTTCTTTTAATATATATTACAAGAACACTTATTGAAAGTAATTTAAGCTTTATCACTCGTTAAAAAAACCTCTGTCCTGGAATAAATCAGAAAGAAACCCAAGGGGCTTCTTTAATCATTCATTAACAATATAATATTTAATACAAGTATGTATGAAAACATTTAGAAACAGCATGGTAGTTATCATCTGATTCCCGGAAATTATTATCAATCATGTTCTCTTTAATAGTATAACAACTCAAAATTATTAAACAATATTTGCTTAGAAAATAGTAAAAATTTAAAACTTTTGATAAATAGCATATTTTTTGTAAGTTTCTTGTAAAATCGTATACATTGCCCCATAAAGTAATAACTACTGACTCTTTCAAAGTCGAGTAACTGTTATTTTAAATAATTCTAATATTAAACGCGATAAAATCCGTAAAAATAGTTCTATTCAATGTGTAGTGTGTGTAGTGTTCGCGTAAATATAAGATATCATTATGTTTTTATTACTGCAAAACAACACTCACCCTAACATCTAGATGCGCGACCTCGTTGGCGTGCAGCCACTCGAGTGCGGAGAGCAGACTCTTCGTATGATGGGCTACGGTGCGCTGCGTGTATTGCGAGGAGGTGGCCGCCCAGTCCAGTAACGGTCCACCGCCCACTAGTTCCAGCACTAGAGTGTGGGCGCCCGCGCGTGGGACTTCCGCAAACAACGCTAGTGCCCGCACTACGGCCGCGTGGGCACCGCGGGATAAGATGCGGTACTCTCGCACGGCGTCCGCTCCTCGACCGGCTACCACCTACAATAAGTAACAATTTTTTAATAATATTTAAGGCAAACAGTTAACTTTTATAGTAAGTTTACTAAGAAGTATAAGTAAGAAAACTAAGATTAGAATATCTCACATCCTGTACTGCCTCTCCATTTACCTTATACTAGGAGATAACAAAGGGTTCAGTGCATATTGACATAGTGATGGTGTCATGTTACATAAAAATTAGCGGGGGTGAAATATTGCCAACTTCCTGACTTCGTGCTGCTAATGATAATTTATTGATAGAAAAACTCAATAACTGATTTTTAGGTCCGACTCGGGAATCGAATCCGGGTTTTCATGATCAGCAGTCACGTTCACGATCATAAAACTAATGAGGGAAGTAAGGTAGTTGGAAGTTTCAAAGAAATAGACACACGCACTATACACTCGAAAGATATTAGAAATAATTTTTAACTTTATTCGATATAGATTATAAGTAATTCTTATTAAGAGTTATTTTTTAATTTAACCATTGATACAAAAAAAATCTTTGTCGTGGGAAGAACCAGCAAGAAACTCTGCGGAAATTTTTTTTTCAAGTTGTACAGGATGTTCAAACCTCTTACAAGATTTACATAAGACAGTTTGAAAGCGATCAGCTCATTCTTAGGATTTATTAGTAATAATAAATTCTTTAAAATAACATCAAAGAGTGGTACAAAGATGGCTAATAATCTTTTGTTGAACAGATGTCGCTAGAAGGGACCGAGTTGACGTTTTTTGTTACTCAATGTTATATAAATGAGAAGTTGCGTTTTAAATAAAATGTTATCAGTTTTAGATTAATACAAAAACAATGCCTCAGCGCTTTGTTCCTTAATTATTTTTAATTATTTTTTTCTACTTTTAGGAATATCCGTATGTTTACTTTATTCATTTCTAATCTACTTTATTCGAATTCTTAATTCTAATCTAAATAATATTACAAAAAGAAACATTGGTTCTTATATTTTTCTGATAAATTAACGTTTCCACTGTGTGATTTGTCAAAAGTTTTACTTCGTTTTTAATTGGCGCCGCCCTGGTGGAAAAGTGATGAATGCCCTCACTGAGAGTGGAGTGGAGTGTGTGTGTGTGTGTGTGTGTGTGTGTGTGTGTGTGGTGGTGCGCGTGCGTGTGCGTGCGTGTGCGTGCGTGCGTGTGCGTGCGTGCGTATATGTGTGTGTGTGCGTGCGTGCGTGCGTGGTGTGTGTGTGTGTGTGTGTGTGTGTGTGTGCGTGTGTGCGTGCGTGTGTGCTTGTGTGCGTGTGTGCATGTGTGCGTGTGTGTGTGTGTGTGTGTGCGCGTGCGTGCGTGCATCCGTGCGCGCGCGCGTGCTAGCGTGCGTGCGTGTGTGTGCGCGCGCGTGCGTGTGCGTGCGTGCGTGTGCGTGCGTGCGTGTATGTGTGTGTACGTGCGTGTGCGTGCGTGTGTGTGTGTTTGTGAGCGTGTGGTATACTGGCCTGCTTGAGCGCGACGCGGTGGCCGGTGCCGGTGTCGCGCGCAACGACGACGCGCGCCGTGCGGCCGCGGCCCAGCTCCTCGGCGAGCGCGTAGCGGCGTGCGAACTGCTCGCGCTGCCAGCCGCCGCCACCGCCACACGCCGCCGCCGCCGACGCCGGCCCGTACCCGCCACGCGAACACACCAGTCTGACACACACAACACACCTACTATAACCACTGCGCACACCTCAACACTACACGACCATACCGTCATTATGTATACACTTTTTTATTTCTTTTAGTAAAACTTAGCGAGTATCGTGGAGGCAGTTTACATACATAAACTGCCACAATCACAAACATTCAGACCCTGAACAATTACTTGTAGGCCATACAAATACCTGTTCCGTGCGAGATTCAAACCCGCGGCCCTCAGCGCTATAATTCATTGCTAAGCTACTGCGCCACGGAGCCGTCAAAATGGTAGTAAAAGAGACCTATAAATCGACTATTGCGCATGTCAAGGCTGTGCTCACATCTAGTGCCGTGGAGTATACCACTCCTGCAGCGGGTTTCAAACGACTTTAAGTAAAGGACGAGGTTCACAATCCATGTTAAACAAATCATATTGTTTTAACTAATATATACTTTTTTTTCTAAAACTGGTACATAAATAATCTCGCTTAATATTTAAGTTATTAAGAGAGTTTTCAAGTAAAAAAATATCCGCCGCGCGCCCTTGCTTATATTAGCAGACTGCCTCAAAAACAGTTTCATTCAATATAAATTTCGTCCTAAATATGAATAGACATTTCCTCGACATATGAGCGAATAATCCTTTGTTACGTCAACTAATTTCGATTATTCCATTTTTGTTACTTCTTAAAAGTCAGTCTTTACTATTCTAAAAGTTTACTATTAGTACAAGTAAATACACACGAATACGTAGGAATTAATGTTTATGCGATTCAGTCAACCCAACCGTAACTTCTATTATAAAGATTTTCTTCTGGAGTATATATAGTGTAGTTAGTAGAGTAGCAGCTCAATGTTGCTATTTCGTATGGTGAATGTAGAGAAACAGAGACCCTTTTTACTGCACAAGAGGTATTCCGTATCATCCTCAGGAGTAACAACACATCTGAGTTTTGATTCTTAATCGAGAATAGATGTAATGTATATGGGCCGCAGCATCCACTTACCATCAGGTAGCAGTCAACCTCACTCGCTTGTCATCCTTATTCTAATCCTGAATACTACAGGGGATGCACTGCTGCTATAAGGGTAAAAGGTAAGACGAAAGTAGGAGAGCCCAACCATGTGAAGTATCTAAAATTTTAAAAATCACAAATGGTAATAGTGATCGCTGAGTAAGTTGACTCCGTCAGCATGAAATTGATTATTAGAAAAGTGGAAAATGTTTGTCGTAATTACGTTGTAAAATTACCGTTCAAATGAAAAAAACTTGTAACAAATTTTTTTAGGTAGTGAGCGAAGGAGCCTAGATGCTTGAAATTTCATACAACGCAAGTGATTTCCCATTTAACACATGCTCTAATAGTAAGCATAATGTCGTGAGGAAATTTGAATGTCTAAGAAATTTAAATATTTTGTGGAAATGTTAAGTTCGCCAACACGTATTAGGTAGGACAGTGCGCTGATTGTTAGACTGTCTTATTTTTTTAGAAATGTTTTAGGAATGAAGTAATATTAAAATGTTAAAAAAGATAATCACAGGTATCCATTAACTTTAACTGATTATTAAATTTTTATTTTACCTTAGGCAATTGCTTACGATAACATATACTATGCAATCTGACTGTTTATTTTTTTAATTTAATACTTATTATTTATAATAATTATATTTTTAGGATTGTGAAATGCTGCATAAGTCATCACAGTCTGTAGTCAATTATATAATTAATATATTACAGTGTTGCATACTAACCTGAAACTGTATTGTCCGGCAGGAAGTTCTTCTAGTGCGAGTGTGCTGGCTGCAGCGGGGGTCTCCGTTGCGCGTCTCCACTCCCCCTCCCCTACGCGGCAGTATTCAAGATGAACTGGTGCTGGCTCATCCCACTGGACCACCAGCCCTCCGCCTGGGTGTGCGCGGACAGTCGGCACTCCCGGCGTCCCTCCCGCACCCACCGTGAGCCGGGCCGAGCTCTGGACCCCGCCAAGTTCATTGCTCACGAGACAGCAGTACACGCCTGCGTCGGATGCGCGGCACGCGTGTATCGTTAGCGACGCGAGACCGTCAGGCGCGAGCGAGATAGCGAAACGACCCCCGTGTCTCAGCGCTCTGGTTTCTGGGGCGGTCTTCCTCCAGGAGGCGGTAGCTCGGGTCGCATTCGCCCGGCAAGATATGGTCGCACTAGAGCCGGGCGCTGCGGTCACGTCCACTGCCGGCTCGAGGAGCTCCGGCGGACGGAGTTCAGTGACCAACCCCTCCGCGCTCGGTTCCCCCCCCACCGCTGCCGCCACTGCTACTACTGCCACCCCGCCGCAACTTCAGGCCCCATGCTCGCTTCGATAACCCCTGCGGGCCACACACACCGATGATTTCGCGAAATCGCAAAATTGAAACTGCCAAGCATTGCATGCACGCCCCGATTCTCCTCAATAAACCACCGCCGTCCACTCGTTAACTAAACTATTTACAATAAATAAACTTAAACTCGTCTTTGGCGGTCATTCCGAAACACACAGCACATTGTAGTCTGGCGCGTGAGTCTGAATCTGTCCGCTATCACAGTCTATTTTAGAAATGCATGCCCGTGTATATCATACCTACAACAAAAGAAATATAGAAAAGCGTTAAATTAAAACAACATGCAAAACAGGATAGAGAAGTGTATTTTTAGAAGATTAAAATAAACAATGTGGTAAAATTGAGCGATATAATACATACCGAAAAAAGAGTAAAAGGTTAATAATATTTAATGCGTGCTAAAAATAGGAAAGCAAAAAGACCTTCTGAATGAAATATGTAAGTTTTTGAAGTATGATTTCTTACTGGTGGAAATGACTTGTTATGGAATAAATTAAAAGGTGAAATACTAAAAAATCAATGATACAATTCAAATGTATGTGAAACATTAAAATAAACAAATAAAAAGGCTGTCAAGTTGTAATACAGCAGCTAAAATATAATAATTGTCACCACTTGAGCAATCTCGTAAAAAGGTGATACAGGTAAAGCGTGGTCATGAGACTAATCCCGCGGCAAGACTGCGTGTTGTTTGTACAATAGCCCCATGGCTAGGTGTAAGCACCATACGAACCATAGCACCATTCGAACTATAACTAGCAACGCTCGGATTTCATGCCGACTTCCTATACTAACAACACTATGAGGAGAGACCATTTATTAGTTATTTTATCAGTTAATAATTCAAATTATTAAATGATGAAATTACGAAGTATTTAAGCTCATTAAAGTGTTAAAGATATTGTTTAACAATAAGGTAATTAAGTTTATTCTATACACGTATTAAGTATCCTAACGACTAACAACACTATGAGGAGAGACCATTTATTAGTTATTTTATCAGTTAATAATTCAAATTATTAAATGATGAAATTATAAATTATTTAAGTTAATTAAAGTTTTAAAAATATTCTTTAACAATAAGAGTTTAACAAAACTGATAATTCTTTAACAGTAATTAAGTTTATTCTAAATAAGTGTACTGTATACGATTATTATAAATATTTCAGTCAGTATAAAGTTCGAGTTATGTGTATTATGATTAATCAATATTCAAGTTAATTATACGAAATCTGATAACAGTTCGTGTTGCTCCTCAGCTCATATGTTATTTACCAAATTATACATTTAGTTAGGCATTTTTCCCCGTAAGCTTTTCTATTATAATATTTAAAGGGTCATGTGGACATACCAGTACGATTTAAATATTTTTTTTAATTAAAATTGTGTATTAAATAACAAACATGTCACTATGTTTTTTGTAAATGCACAAATATTTTATTACTTTTCTAAAATACGTATTAGTATTGCTACAACATCATCATCCAATTGTCGTATCGCTCTAATATTATAGTTAACTTTTAAATTATTAATTGTAAAAAAAAAATTCATTTAATCATATGTTTAAGAATTCCTGATGATCTCAATACGTTTAGAAAAAATAATAACAAACAATATTTTATTTAATGAATTCATAATAATCAAATGTATTTAGTTATGTAGTAGTTTAGTGATTTAATTGACCACGTTCAACCATCAATATCTCGGTTTTGTACGTGCATTAGAGTACTGTAAACGTTAGTTATTTTATAAATGTGACATTTTATTTTATTAATCAAAAGTAAGTGGGCCTGTTCAAATCCAATTTTCAAAGAATACTAATAATGTTTAGACAGTCCTATTTAGAACTTCTTTATAATTAATAGTCAAAAATTCCACACCTTTAAATGTAACACAACTGAGCCAGGTCAAATAAGGCGAAGAACTGCTCGAGCATTCTCTGCTGATTATCATCCTTCCTTATTCCGTTAAAATACGAGTTTACACTATACACTATAGGTATACTATGCAAGGGATTTTTATTTTTTACTTTAACGATTTCGAACATGTTACGATCGTCAAAGTAGTGCGAGCAGTTCTATGTTGTACAAGTGGAATTACTTGTTAATTATTTATGAACGAGTTTTATAATAATGAGTATGTCGTAATGAGGTATCCCTCTCTGAGCTATCCCTAATATTTTAGAACCTATTAATACTACATTTTGACTTGTAAGAGAGCAGGTTACAAAAGTATTTGGTTATTACATTTATTCACTCAAAAGAACCACCCTGGGGCGGATATTAAGATATGCGTGTTCATCTATCAACCCCAGACGTCGTGGATAGTCGGAATTCACTTTTATTTGTTCTTCCGACTTTTTACCCCAAGTACAGTTCTACACATACACTTTAACTATTAATTAATTTTAAAAATCACAAACCTTATCAAAAAACTTATTTCGTATTATTAGGCAGACAGTATTGCCGTTTACGCTATCGTTACAGCCTGTTGAAGTGCACGCACTATATATTGCATTTAAATTAAATTAAACTTCGTCGTTTTAAATAGTATTATTGCATAATTAACAAATTCTGCAATATGTCCAGGCAATTACCAACACTAATTTCATTATTGAGTAGACGTAATTTGATATCCTGAATAAATTTGTCACTTTTGATGTAAGTACATTTGCAATCGTTTTATAAATTTCTTTTCTACCACAGATGTTTTAGCGCAGAACTGGGCATTTTTGCATGCATTCCAAAAACGTTACTATTGGAAGTTTGTCTTTATTTTTTTATCTTCATCAACTATCTATATTACCTTCATTTCTAAGTATCTTGAGCCAGTTTTTATCATGTTTCTACAAATGTCTGTACACAGCCGAGAGAAAATCGGAAGAAAAATAATATATACGAATTCCGATTATCCACCCCGTCTGGGGTGGATAGATGAACACGCGTTTCCGAGTATCCACCATAGTGTGGATCCTTTAGGGTGGATAAATAGAATAACTCAAATTATTAAAATTAGAGATGGGCCGAATATGGATTTCAACGAATATTCGGTAAAACTTTTACTGAACCGGATATTCAGCCGAACATTATTCGGCACCATCGCCTCGGTACCTAACCAATTTATGTCGAAACTTATTACCGTAAAGCTCGCGGGATTAGCGCCGGACCCTGCCCGTCGCTCCCCGCCACACCTGACATGTTAGTGCATCATCGAGTACCGAGCAAATTGCCAGCACATGTATGTTTTGACTATTATTGTGAGAAAAAAGTATTTCGTTGTGTTATTCTTAGTGAAAATTGATAATTATATGATAAAATGAGTGGCAGGAGATCTAATATTTGAACTTATTTTAGAGAAACTGACGACCAAAGTATGAGTAGCACTTTAACGAATGTTCGGTGATTTAGCCGAATATTCGGCGGAATACAAATATTCGGTAAAGCTGGCAAACATACCGAATACCGAATATAAAAAGAATATTCGGCCTATCTGTAATTAAAATACATGTTTTTGTAAAATCCGTTTATAAACTGTTGTGTCTTTTATTATTTTAGTTATTTTTATTTAATTTAAAATTAATTATTTAGTTTTAATTAAGAATTTTAATATAATGTAGTTATAACTTGTATAAAAACGTAACAAGACAAAGGATGCTGTGTTATTTATGTTACCGTTGATATTCTCATCAGTAACTCTTAAGCAACTTGTATTTTGAGTTTTTGAATAAACTGTTTCTATTTTTATAAGATAACATTGACAGTATTAAAAGTTAAGCATATTATAAGTAAATTTGTATCCTTTGGAGTTGCTTTAAATTATTTACTTAGGTTATTAACTTAGATAACGTATGTCCTACATTTGAGATATAGACATAATAAAATGTCTCAATTATTTTGAATGCTGAAAATTAAAATTTATGATCCATAAATTAATTTATTTTTCTTACGATGTATTTAATTCAATATTTATATTTTAATTGAGATAATTGTTAAAATATTGTAAAAAATGAAAATACTAAAGCTTTCTGCATAAATCTCCAAAAAATTATTTTTATATACCGTTTCATTACTGTAACGTACAAAAGTAAAGTAAATTTATTCAAGTCTCAGAAAGCATTCAGAGCTTAAATTTTGCTATAAGCAATATGTTTCTTTTATCTTAAAATAAAATAGTTTTGTGTTATATGTTTATGATATTCATCAAATTAACGTAACAGAACGTGCATGAAGCAAAATTTGGTAAGGAACACTGGAGATGCGGGACGCAGTATGCCCTTTTATATTACTGCAAAACAGAATCTGTAACGGTTGGTTGGAATCTGAAACGCCTTACCAGTTATATTTGACGTTTTATTAATAATTTTGTAATTTGTAATGAATCAAGCATCAAGCAAAGTGTTTAAATAAAGTATATACGGCGTGTAATAATAACGTTTTATTTATATTTTGTGACCGTGACTTTCAAAGTCATTTGGATCACAACTTACGTTGGCGTGCGGCGGCGAAGTAGGGCTCACTGCCGTACTGGGCGTCTTCTTGCGATCATCGCTGCGTACAGTACCGGTGGGCAGATTGATCGTGTTGGCTTTAGTGTGGGGGCGCTGCGATCGCCCTCGGAGCTCAGGGGCCAAGCGACCCCCCAAACACGGAGGCACACTCTCCGTCTTACGTAGTCCGCTCCAACCCTCACCCACGCTATCGGGACGGGAATAGGACCAATTAAAACAAAAAAATAAAAAGGGGTAAAAACGGGTTCGCCAGCTTTACTGTCGAATGGGGTGTTTGACTATTGAATAAAATACGATCTTAGGTATTTTCTGAGAAAATGAATTTCCAGCATTGAAGACGCGGGTACAAAGATTACAAAATGCTTTTCTACGTTTAATACTAATTTACTGTCATAATTTGTGACGGTAGTCGATTTTTTGTAAGGAAATTTATCCATCTAGACAAATTATTCGAATGCATTTTGTACTCAAATACACCATTGTTTAGACTAGTCATTGAGACTAGTCTCTTGTGTACCATAGGGTTAATCTATCCGATCTATATATTTCGTTTATTAAATTACCAATAAAGCATTTGTGTTAGTACTGTGAAGCTAATTCATATGAAGCTTTGTTAGTAGCTTGAAGCCGGCCCCGATGAACAAAAAATTAAATGAAACAAACAAACAAAACGTGTAAAAAGCATGCGGGACTAAAAGCAGTAAATCAAAAGCGTTTTTGATTCACATTTATTGGTTACTCATTTAACATATATTCGAGTAATACAGTGATAGTTAAAAGTTAACTTAATATATATATATACAAAGGTATGAGAAACATATAACTATGTACAAAATAAAAGACGTAGTAGAGGCCTAGTTAAAATACATTCGTTTGAATAACTTAATCGCATTGGTCAAAAATATCTTTTAGAAAGACGACATTATTAGAATGTAAATAATTATACATCGATATCTATTTTATGAGGATAATCAAGTGTTAATAGTAATACCTAACGAACTATCTAACTTCTATAATTTATAAATAAAACTTATGGCGGAAACAAATCACTTATGTGCGCCTACAATGTGTTAAATTTGGCATGACTAATCGTCAATATGCCGAGTTTTAATCATCAGTATAACGATTTGTCAAACAAATTACTCACCACCGTACTACCAGTGTTGTCGTGTTTAACACTTTAAAAAACGGTTAGTATTAAAAACAGTTTTATCGAATAAGTATCTTTTCTTAAAAGTAAGTCGCTAACTGTTACATGTATTGAAATTTTGCAACATCAGTAGTAGTCGTTAACAAGATTTCCCGTTCAACCATTTCAACAAGAAATACTGTTGGTCATCATTACAAAATATCTACGCACATTTCACACATAATACGAAATTTCGACAAATGTAACTGTTAGTGCCGCTTTACCGAATTACATACCAGATGACGTGTATAGTACCTACGTGATATTTCAACTGTCACACGTGCAATATTACGATTAGTCTGCGCTCAAAATAAAAGGTATGACCGGGTATTTTTGAAGCAATATATATTTTAAATAATTTTACTAAATAATAATATACTACACACACTAATATATAACACAGGATTATTTTTCAAAGAGTAGCCAAATGTTAAACTTTACAGTTTTTGAAAATACGAGCAAATAAGGCTTCCAATTTTATTTGAAATTATCCCAAATTGAATGTGATTGAATATAATTCATTTACTATGCGTTTTGTATTTAAAAGATAAAAAGGATAGAATGTTTAAATTTTTCTTCACCATTTCTCTATAGTACTTATTCTAAACCTCCGCAAATTTGGCCGGTTATTGCAAAATAACCCTGTAATCCCCTTGAGGTAATAGAAATACACTAACACTTTAAAAAGTTAACAATACTAAGTGAAAGATACAAACTGGTATATGTTTTAAAAGCATATTTATTTGTTTTACGTAGAACCCAATCAATATTAAAAAAATTATATTAACAAAACGGGGTGACATGTATCCGTCTGTGTAGATGATTTCAGTTATTCACCAAAGTACAATTTGATGATATTAGTAAATACGAGCAATATGCTCCAAATATAATAATATTAGCTACGTAAATAAGAAGCCTAAAAAGCAAGCCCTTACGGTCTAAATATACCTATCACAATATAATGCTAACAAAATCCTCTGGACTGCATCTTAATATCATAAAAAATGTCCTTAATACATAAATTATTTTATATACTAAAAGCTGTGTAAACGAAAGCATTATTAATACGCAAAACCAACCGGCCTACCGTTCGATGTTACAATCACTTAAACAGATGTATAATTCGAGTTGTCTTTGCGACTAATATTCACGTAAGCTAATTATAGTAAATTACACGAGTCGCAGCATCAGCGTTATGGTCAAGCAGATCGAATGTCTTGATATACAATAGCCGCAAACTAAATTGGTCCCGAAAATAAAAAGAAAACCACGAATAGCCCCCAATATAATACTGTCAGAAGACAATACATAACAATTTTCGATAAAATAGACATTTGCAAATTAAACTCTCATGATTACAAGGATTACAATAAGACGTACAACGAATTCTAACACTATAATACAACTACTCTGTGTGAGGTGTTATCGAGTTATATATCTTAATCCCCCGACTTAAGCTGACCTCTCGGGATCCGACCGTCGTGAAGCCCTATGGAGCTCGGCGGTCGGGCCCAAAGGATCTATCTACATCCAAGCTTAAATCAAAGTTTGACAAACACCACTTACAATAATAGAACGTCCATGGCTTTTATATGCGCACTTACACTGGAGTCATAAGATATGTGTGAGCGTACACTAATGAAAACATAAGGATCGATAAAACGATTATAATGAATACCAAATGAGTTAACACTAAATTAATGATAAACATCTTCGATGATTACTACCTTAAAGCAAACTATACACAACTATAAGAAATCTGTGTGAAAGCTGAATACTCCGTATAAATATATTCCATATGTATTAAGAGTAATGCTATCTGAGATCAGATAATACTATAATAATGTGAGTTATTGAAAAGTTACCCTAACATGCATTATATTGTACTCTGACTCATTCCACGATTATATTTCTTTGCAATCATTCCGATCAGTCCAGTCTTCTTCGATTCCTTCTTAATGCTAAATATAATTACATATTTAAAAGGAAATATAGCCCTAATAATATGTACTGATTAATTGTTGTCATTAAATATTATGTTTGGATATAATGAGTTCATAGATAAATTGATGAATTACGAATGTAAAGGTAATAATATTTAAAACACCAATATCCTAAACACTTATTAATGTTATCGGTTACACGAGTAGCTCTTATGTGAATATAATTATGGATTATTATTATTTGAATGAGTTTATTAAATTCTAACCTTAATTTAACGCCTGTTAACACAGCTCAACACTCAAGTCACGCCACACATGCTCATGGTATAAAGTCCCTCTGATTTAATTCTTGATAAGGATGCTCACAAATCTCGTTATGCTCTCCATTTTAACTACTAAGATTTGAATTTTAACTAACTCAAGAACTAAGTGAAATGTATTATTGCTTGAAACAATAAGCCAAAATGCAGGGTGTCGAAAAGCGCACTTGAAAATTATTGCTGTTTAGAACATATAATTTGAATTATATAGATGCGTTATGGAACTGTTTCTCTCTCATTGCACAAATTTGTCTAAAAATTTGGTCAAATAATGTGCGTGTAAGTGTATACTAATAATAGTAACTTATGCTATCAATTCCGAATAGCTCTCACTATAAATTATTAAATGACTAAAGTTAACAATAAGGCTAAAGTTGTGGGAGGCAATTGGCAGTATATTGTTGTCTTTTTATGAATAACGATCTTAATGGCGCAGGCTTACGTACGATAAAAATGATATGATTCATGTTACTTTAGCGCAAGTACATAAATGTATACTTACGAGATCCGGTAGACAATATCGCACGGTATGTAAATTGTATCAGAACGAGCTGGAAGGCTCTTTGTAGTAGTTTTAAATAACTTGTACTAATTTATAAATTGTCTTTACGATATTTAACACGATCCTTTTCGGCCTGTCGTATGAGTGTGTGTCAACACTCCTAGTTAGAAGATTTATTAACTTCTATACACATTGTACAGATAATTTCCCTTTAGTTAGATGTTACGACCGCTTATATTGTTTTTGTATTGATGTTGTGTTCTCGGCAAACGATTTTGATATCAAATAAGGTACAGATTTATTACAAATGTTATATGAATTTCATAAATTGCTAACACATAATAGTAACATTACAATTTCAATAAATTCACTTGTCTCTAACTAACAAACGTTAATTTTGTTCGTTTTAAAATGGGGCCAATTATAGGTGTTAGTTTAGTTAGAACAAGCGCACAGAGCAAAGAACATCAGAACGTCAACAGAAAGAAATAATAATACGCCGAGACATTTTGTATCGTCCTGATGGGGTTTTGTATAATCTTCAATCTGCGCGCGTGATTACAGACGTAAAAACTTAAACCTGCAATATAAATTATATTACATAATGTGCTTTGTTTCTATTACCGTGCGCTAGGTTTGCAAAATATTTACTGAGCTGTTACACTAACGCTATACATAAATGTAGCAACAGTTCTTTAGCAAAAATCGTCAGGACTTGCTTAACAAAATGCTAATATATCTCTTTCTAAAAGAAGTGCAAAAGAAAATTTGACTTGTGAAATTATTAGTCAGTATTCTGACGAGTTGTGCTCATGTTAAATAGAACAAATTACTGATCGATTATCTCGATACATCGGGAGCAAAATAACATTATATAATGTACAAATTAATATGTTAATAATATCCAATCTTATATCATGAATACGGAGTCTGATAAAATAATTTGCTCGTGATATAAACAAGCTATTAAGCATTTTAACACAATGTTATAATAAGCAAATAATTGCTTATGAATTCAGAAGCTGCCCTTTTGATGAAAAAGTGACGATAGGTAACGGCATAAGGCTTATAATAAAGGAAACACAATAAACTCAAGATTCAATTAATTAAAATTACATGTGTTGTGGAATCTTAAATAATATTTTATAATAAAAATGTTTTCATTAATTAAACAAATACCTAAATTTATATAAAAACTCTACATATTGACTGGAATAGAACCCTGAAATCAAACTTGACATTGGAGAAAACTGACAAAAACAAAGAGCGTACTGCCGTTACGTGCCGTCACGTCACCTGTATTCCCGTAAGACCTTATACTTACGCAGCGGGATCGCGAGCCTGATCACGATGCAGTTCCCGTAGATAAGCTCCGGGGTTCTCCAGGGCCTCGCCAAAGATACGTTGGGAACGCAGTATAGTAGATAAAGTTGAGGTCCATTGAGCGCGACGGGCCTCAGGGGCGCGGCACATAAACGACTGCTTCGGCTTGTTAGGGTCCAACGAGTGAATGATAAATGCGCCGTTGTTCTCCAACTCCTCCAGTTCCATTTTGTTGACCTGTTGCACATATTTGTAAAAGTTACGGCCTTTTTCAATTATTTTATTTTGATTTCTTACATTAACCCGAATCTTATTTTACCGCATTGAATTTTAAATAATTTTAATTGATCATTTAGCAACCTGTTTTGTATCATATGTGTGGTAGAACCATGCTGCATCTATACTCGTGTTATGGTGTAACATCCATATAGCTCGACCGAGGATGGACCACGCTCTCACAATATACCTACTAGCGTTAAACGTCAAAACAAATTATTATTTAAATATGTGTTCTATTTAATATGTATATTTCATTTCCATATCTACTATTCTTGATAAGGTTTGTGTATATATGATATATATATATATATATATATATACAAAAACCTTATCAATATATATATATATATATATATATATACTATTAGACGGCTCAACCGGAAGTCTAGCAGAAGTATATACTACTGTTACGAGCTTAAGATTCGTGACAATAAAAATTGCCGATTGAATTACCTAAATTAACACTCTAATTCACTTTACACTAATTAAACTTAAAACACTAATAATTAATCACACTGATTCACTTTGTGGCCGATGAAGGAAAAGGGGAGATCTCCCGCCGGGCAAGGTGTTGTGCCCGGGGAGCGGCCAACGCTCCGTGTGATAGTTCGGAGATGTTCTATATATACTTTTTATGATTCGGAATTTTGATAGCGTGATTTAGGCTTAGATGTTTTTCGCTTGTGGCGCTACGACAGCGCCGCCACAACTTTATTCCGCTCCGAAGCTTCGCTTGTCTCGCCAAATTCAATACTTCCCCGATCGCGTATTGCAGCGCCTTTATATAGCGCTCTTCCACGAAAACATCTACTAGATGGCGCTGTCTGTTGAAAGACTATTAATGTATTTTCTGGAAAGCTCCCCCCCTCGCTCTCGTCCCCGACACTAGATGGCGCTAGTGCCCGGTACATGACGTCAACTTAGGCGCGTAACACTGCCCCCTCCTAAGACATGCTCGTCCCGAGCATTATCGGCCCCATAATAATGCGCCAAGCGATCCACATGGGCGATCTTAGGAGTCCCTTTTGCGCCTTTCTGTAACGGCTCCGCAATTTCAAGGGTTGTCCTATCCCATGGTGCACCAACATTGTACAATTTCGATGCTCCTCTACTACGTGTCTGAGGTCCCTTCACGGCCGCACAACTTGTACATGTACGACACCAATCCTCGACATCGTCACGATAATGGACCCAGTAAAACTGTTCTCGGACCTTCAGTAGAGTTCGTTTAACTCCCAGGTGTACTCTTGAACGACCATTATGGCACAGCTGTTGAACATTCGGCACTTTAGCTTTAGGGACAACCATTTGCAAACGACAGCTGTCTCCTCGACCATTGTCCCATTTACGGCACAGGACTCCATCCTGAATCAGCAAGCTGTCATATTGGGCCCAATAGCTTTTCGTGGTTGAACTCATCGCTGAGACGTCCCTCCACTTATGCTTGGTAGCACGGGCCTTCATCCAGTCCAGAATCGGCTTGATGTCCGGATCTTCCTGCTGTGCATGTCGTAGGCTGTCCTTCCACTCGTTGCTGAGGTGGTCTGTCCCGATTATCCTCACGGATACCACTTCCTTACTCTCTTGCCTAGTACAATGTTTCCAATCTTCAGGACAAGGTCTTCTTGACAATGAATCTGCGTTGCCATGAGATTTCCCGCTGCTATGTCTGATAGTAAAGTCGTATCCCGGCTGCTGCTGGGCGGTGATGTTAGCCGCACTTCCCTTCTGAGATCGTTCACCTTCCCTTTCTAGGGTTCGCTTAGGGCAGCTGGATCGAAGATGGCCCCTTTCCCCACAGCCATAGCACCTAGGGCTGTATCCTTTATTATGGTCGCTAACCGTAACTGCTGCAACCTTCCTAGCGCGATGGGAACGACGATCCTGCCACCGCCAGGCGGTACCGTTAGCTGCACTACCCTCTCGAGATCGATCAACTTCCCTTTCTACAATTCGCTTAGGGCAGCTGGATCGAAGATGGCCCTTTTCCCCACAGCCATAGCACCTAGGGCTGAATCCTTCGTTGCCGTCGCGAAATGTAGCTGCTACAACCCCCCTGACGCGATGGGAACGATGATCCTGCCGCACGGCTTCCACCTCCAGTGCATGGGCCAAGGCGTCCTTAAGCGTCTCGTGGTGCCCGAGCCTCACAGCAGCTCTGACCTCAAGGTCGCGGATGACGTCGATGAATGTCTGCACCAGGTTCCCTTCAATGAGCGCAGGTACAGACTGGTATTCTTTCCGAACCATCTTCTCCACCTCAAGGGACCACAACTGAAGGTTTTCGTTGCTGCGTTGCACGCGATCTTTAAGCTGCGCGCGAAAGACGTGTTCCAGGTGAGCGTCGCCATATCTCGCCTCCAATGCCTCAAGGAGCTGCTCGTAGGTCACTTTCTTACCGAGAGCTTCCAACACAGTTAAGGCTTGGTCGCGCAAGCCTAGGGTGAGTGCAGTCATGGCCTGGCTTTTATTCCAGCCGTTCGCCTCCATTACGGCCTCGAACTGGATTTTGTAGGCCGACCAGGAAGAAGTCCCGTCGAACGGCGGCACTTTGAATCCACGTAGCGAAGGTGCTGTAGTTACTACGGGAGCTGTAGTTTCATCCCCAAGTTTGAGGTCGTTCAGCGTTTTCTTCACGTCAGCCATCACGTTGTCAACCCGATTGTTCACATGGTTGATTCGGGTTTCATGTTCTTCGATTCGGGTTTCAGCTTCCGACAGGCGGTTGTCATGTTAAGCACCCCTATCCTTCACCTCCCTTATCTCTTTCCCAAAGGTAGCTTGAAGATCCTTCATGAGGAGCATCTGCTCTTCCGACCGACAAGCCTGTTCCGCCTGCTGATCTTCCAACCGACGGGCCTGTTCCGCCTGCTGATCTTCCAACCGACGAGCCTGTTCCTCCTGTCGGCGGGCCTGTTCCTCCTGTCGGCGAGCCTGTTCCTCCTGTCGGCGGGCCTGTTCCTCTTGTCCGCTCTGCAGCTGCTCTTTCAACTGACGGACCTGTTCCTCCTGTCGGCGAGCCTGCTCCTGCAGCATCACCATCAAAGCACCTAAGTCGGGTGCTGCAGATGTAGAAGCTACTGACGGGCCTGCAGCCGGCGGCTGTCCCTCCGACGTCTGCGGCGTTGCACCACCAAATCTTCTTAGGTCCGTCTCCTGCTGGCGTTGATTTCGGGTACGGACCCTCCGTTTCCTCGTTTGGTAAAATCGGCATGATTTGATCCCACTTCTGACACAAATTGTTACGAGCTTAAGGTTCGTGACAATAAAAATTGCCGATTGAATTACCTAAATTAACACTTTAATTCACTTTACACTAATTAAACTTAAAACACTAATAATTTAATCACACTGATTCATTTTGTGGCCGATGAAGGAAAAGGGGAGATCTCCCGCCGGGCAAGGTGTTGTGACCGGGGAGCGACCAACGCTCCGTGTGATAGTTCGGAGATGTTCTATATATACTTTTTATGATTCGGAATTTTGATAGCGTGATTTAGGCTTCGATGTGTTTCGCTTTATTCCGCTCCGAAGCTTCGCTTGTCTCGCCAAATTCAATACTTCCCCGATTGCAGCGCCTTTATATAGGGCTCTTCCAAGAAAACATCCAGAATATTCCAGAATATTCGAGTAAATACGCGCGCCAACCGACCAAGCACAGAAAGTTCGAGTGTGGGGCTTCCAGAAAGCTTAATTCTTCAATTCGATACTAGATGGCGCTGTCGGTTGAAAGACTATTCATGTATTTTCTGGAAAGCTCCCCTCGCTCTCGTCCCTGACACTAGATGGCGCTAGTGCCGGGTACATGACGTCAACTTAGGCGCGTAACACTACCTTGCCAGGCAGACGTTCTGCCCTTGTCGACGACCCTTCTTTTTCATGTCCTATTAAAAAATTTTAAATTCGCAAAAAAAAAATGTGCGTCATTCATGGACAAAATAACTATCCTATCTCTCAAGTTGGACCAAACTGCACATGGTGTGCAAATTTGATTAAAATCGGTTAAGTAGTTTAGGAGTACATCGCGGACAAACAACGTGACACGTAATTTATATATATATATATATATATATATATATATATATATATATATATATATATTTTTCCTAAAATGTGTGTGTATTTATAATTACGTTGATAGATAATATTTCTTTACTCTTTTGCGCAATATATCAAGAGAAGAACAGCTAGCACGTATATCATGTGGGAGTGAGTTCTATAGCTTAACCGCCCTTACAGTAAAGGATCCAAGATATCGTCTTGAGAAATGAAAAGGGGTTTTGAGAAATAGCTGTTTAGTGGACCAGCACTGTGTTTCACGGGGTACAAGACGCTCAAAACGCTCGCGGAGATATGGAGTTGCAAGAGGATTAAAGAGTAACAGGTAAAGAAATGATATAACATGTAAGTCGACGTCTACGGACAGGAAGCCATTTTAATTGAGCCGTTTACTCTGAAACATGATCAAACCTACGACAAAACACAGAAGTCAAAGACAGAAGACAAAACGTACACACGCATTTTGAAGGCGTTTCAGTTTGTTCAACAGTTCCTCTGAAACAACCAGAAAACTAACATGAGCGTAGTCAATGAGAGGAAGAAGAAATGCTTGAGCTAAGGTTATCTTCGTTTTTAACGGTAAAAACATCTGGAGGCGCTTGAGCGACTGAAAAGAGTAGTTCACTTTCCTGCTAATCAATCATATTAACGTAGCAACCCAAGACAAATTATTATCAAAATTAACACATAAGTTCTTGGTAGTCTGGAATCTGAGTATTATCGTAAGTTAGAGCTAAGATTTTCGAACGGTCTAACAGGTTAAGCATACGTGAGCTGTCAATAATAATAACTTGGGATTTAACAAGGTTAACAAGGAAACCAAAGGATTTTGCCCAACTGCTTAGCTTAGCCTCTTCTATAACTTTAATCTATAACTTTGAAGTGATGATGATTGATAACGTCTGTATTTAGAAGTAGACGTGGGACCAGAGAGACATCACCATTTATAGTAGAGTATTGAAAGTATTAAGCAAGATCTTTCTTTATAAATGGACATTAAGAGCTGGAATTATTTACCACTCAGGGGAACGCGTGAATGTTTGATTATAATATCCTTATAGGATTATCTCCGCACAGAGAAGAGGAGTTAGTAACTCCTCTAGAAGAGGAGTTAGTAACTCCTCTTCGCTGTGCGGAGGTTATCCTATTATAGTGCCACTAATGCTAACCAGACGACTCAATGTTCCTTTTTTAATAGAGTAAAGGTGCAAACAAACGAACAAACGAGCACACAGTTCATCTGACGGTCAAGGATGCTGTGGCCCATAGAGATACACATTTATTTTCGATTAAGAATCAAAACGAGGATGCATTGTCACCACTGAGGACTAAGATGGAATGCCTCGTTTTCAGTAAAAAAGGGTCTCCGGATTTCTACATATATCATAAGAAACACAGCAGTATTCAGCTGCTATTTTAAGTAGGTATTCTGTGAGAGCTTGGTCCTTCCCCGGTTGAGTTGAGACATTCGTGCTACAGCCATAATATTGCTGTAGGGTGGCTCTACTATGAATAAAAACGCATAATCCTAACGCATATCAGCTTACTTTATAGCAACCGTTACGTTAATTTGACAATATGGGAGGAGAGTTAATGTGGAATGTCAATGACAAGATGTTTATATCAATACAGACTACTGTGACTGCCAGAATTTATCAACTAAGACATTTATGTGAATAATGGAAGTTGATTACGGATTTTATGTGTAATGATGGTGACCGTATAGTAGAGGTGTTAGGATATCAATTATCCCATTTATCGTTCCGTAGGTGTCAGAGGCGACATAGAGGAACTAAAATAGAGAGATGGGCGTCTTCCTGATAACAATTTAAGGGTATATTCCGAAACGTTTTCAGTATACTGCCGAATACAAATGACGTCATCAATTGACACTATATTGTACTGGCATGCCGCTGCCATATTGTGTCGGATATCGGCCATAATAAAAAAAAAATTAATTGTGTGCGCTGAATGAAGCATGCAAAATTTGTTATTTATTCAAATACAAAAATTATAGAATAATTACTAGTATCTCCATTAGGAGGATATAATAATTTTTGGAGCACAAACTGACAAAATAATCGCCAACAGTTTCCAATATGGCGCAAATGTTTGACGTTCTATACTGTCCTATGTTTTGGAACGAATCACTAGTATAGCGTCGATTCATAACGTCATTTGCATTGGACAGTATACTGAGTTCTATTTTGGAACATACCCTAAAGTTATAAGAAACTGCAATTTTCAATCGGGTCGCCAAGCCTTGGCGGTGCGCCTTATGAAGCAATCTATGGAGGAGGCCTATGTTCAGCAGTAGAATTTTAGTTTATCTTTAATAATGCGTATTTAACTGACTTGAATACATTGATAATGTTCTCGTTTTATTTATATTGAAGTCGATTGTACAAAATGTTTAATTTTACCATTGGTATGTCAATTTATAATCAATCTAGTTATAAGAGTGGTAGAAGCCTTGAGGCAGAGGCTATGATAAGCACTCGCCGTAAATTTAATAGAACGCGAGCAGCCCGAGCTTAATCGCCGCCGGCGATAAAGTAAAACATATTAGGGAAATTTGCTTGAATTTGTGTGACATGAGTTAATTTTATTTTTCAATATTTTTTCAATTGGTATCTTTTCTTAAAAATAATTTATTGTCTTATCGAACCTTACTGCCAAATATACAGATAATGCCGTCGAAGGAGTTAATATGTTACATGTAAGAGCTCGTTACGAAATTTGTATTTAGAAATCCTGTATAAATTGGCAAGAAAAAAAAACGAGGCGCATAAAAATATCTAAAATATCTTTCTTTTATGTGGAAATATTATAATGATAACGACGCATAAACCTGGAGGCGCTTACAAGATCGAACTGAAACTTTCACAGTTAAATTGGCTGTTAAATAGTCACGAGGCTTCTTTATATTTTTGAGTATCCGAAAAATGACCAATCAAAAACATTCAGACTTGCAAAAGAAATAATTCTATCCTACACCTGTTCAGCGGCACAAGAGTTACAAGCGACGATTTTTTCAAAAGCATGTAAAAAGCAGATCTTATGACCTCTGTTAGATAACCACTTCATATTATACGACATTAATATGTAAAGTATCCAGACCGGAGGTGAACAGCGACTTCCAATATGCGAGATTTTTGTACTGAAATAAAATTTAATTATATTTATACTGGCGTATAATTAATAATAACTTTAAAATAATTTGTTGTTTCGACAATAAATAATATCGTAAAAGTAAATAAGGAGAATATTCGCCTTTTCAGAGCGTAATCGCTTTATTGTAATATCAGTACTAAGAAATCTTCCTCGTACTAGAGTTGAAGTTCGAAATCGTCTCATGGAAGTGAGACTTGTCATAATGAGCAACTAAGCCTAAACTCCGCAACACATCGATTTGCACAACTACGTTTTTCCAGAGAACAAGCCAAATGGAGATTGAAGCAGTGGAAGAATGTTATCATTAATTACAAAAGCAGAATGTGCTTATATGGCGCCGATGGTAAACTTATGCACCGACGACCTGTAAAAAGATATGTGCCATATCGATATGAAACTGTGGCAGATGCACGAGGTAATTAAAGGCTTAGGCTGGCTTCTCTTACGAAGCAAGAACTGAGTTATTCAAGAATGAAAGAAGAATGGGGGATTCACTACCGCCTGTTCTACCAAAAGCTATGACGAACTGCCTAATTAGATAAAGCATGTTTGGGACCAAGTCAAAAGGCTTCTACGTGATAGAGTAATATTGCAGTTATATCAGTAGTGTAGTTGTAGCACGAATGGGCCGGTTCGACCGGGGAAGCGCCCCGCTCTCACAGAATACCAGCGTAAAATAGTAGCTTAACGCTGCTGTGTTTCGTATGGTGAGTGTAGAGTACCGGAGACCCTTTTTACTGGAAACGAGTCATTCCATCTTAGTCCTCACGGGTGACAACGCATCTGCATTTTGATTTGTAATGGGAATAAATTCGAAAGGGTTATATTGGAAGAATGGGAGGCTATCCAACAGGATACATTAAAATAAATACAACAAAAAAATTAAAAAAGTAAAATATAACAAAAACCGACTAAAAGATGTAATGTGACGTGATAATTGTAGTTTAATACAATGGCAATACACATTATTAAAAGTTAAAGAACTAAGACTGTATACTACTAATAAGCAAGGAGGCAACAAACCTGCACATGAGCCTTGTAGTTGTAAGTGGGGCTGGTGAACTGGTTCTTTTTGCCGACGGCCTCGCTGAATATGACGCATTGCTCGAACAAGAACACGTGCAGTTCCTTGCCCTTATCGTTGCTGGTAGCGTCGGATACCACCAGCGGCTCCTGCATCAGCAACTTTCCCTGCGCTGTTATGTTCCCCTGGAATACAAACACGTATGATGACATACGGAAATTTGGACTTTATTGTACCTAAAGGTAAAAGATCTAACTATATGTTCCCCTGGAACAAGTATAATTACGAATGAGAGATCTTATAATAAATTGTATATAAGGTTTATTTTGCGGTGCTCAATGAAAAATATGATATTCTACGTGGCGATTTCGGCAACGGCGATAGTTCCAAAATTTTGTAAAACTATGTGAAGCGACACATTACGCACTACGTTAAGGACGCTATAATGCAATACCAAAGACGAACAATGAGACCTGTAAGCCAATAATAATACATGCCTTGCACAAACTTCCGGTTGAGATTCGGAACTACGCTCCGGGATTTAGCAGCCTAGTACCTCAGACCACTAGGCCACGTGGTCGCAAAATTAAAATATAAAAACACGCGAATAAAATAAAATTAGTAGTGAAACTATGAAAGGGGTATTTTCAACATTATAAGGACGACAGGTTGTATTAACGACGATGCGCCCACATTTATTAATTGGTGTGAATTCCTAAATTCCTAATTGGTGAGAATCACTAAAGAGAAATCATTCATCATCATCGTCATCATTACATCCCTTCAGCAGCGAACATAGGCCTCCCCCAAGGAATGGAACAAAGCACGGGCTTGGACCACCTGCATTACGACTTATAATATTCTATAAGAGTTAAGTGCTGTCCTCATTTAAATAATTTTAAATAACTTTATCAGACTGTTTGTGTCCTAAAATTATAAAAATAGGTTTTAATAAATGGCGTTACAAAAAAAATAAATAAAAAAATTGTCAACTGTCGAATACAATTTAAGCAGTTTATAACGTATCTTCAAGCCTATTTAATACTATATCTTTTTATTTGAATTAACGTTGAAATATAACTGGAAGCTCTCAAGTCACATACACATAAGTTAAACAGAAAGATGGCATATATACAAAGTTACGTCATTTATATGATCAAAGAAGCAAGTTAATATTGTCGATTTTTTTCGTCTTGCGGGAAGATAGATTATAGATAGAAGACGGCAAACAATTTTTTAAGTGTATAACTTTAAAGTCGGCCATATTTTGACGGTCGTTAGTTATTTTTTCAGTTATCATATTATTTTTAAGCCTTCTTTTAAGTGGTATTAAATATTTATTCGTTTTTAGCCTAACTCGACTTCCCTAATGGGTAAAGACCTTCCCTTAAATCAAAACATATTTACAAATGTGCAACTAGATATTTTCAATTTTTTGATCTACTAGATTTCAAAAATTCCTGTTGCACCGCCGTTTTTTAACGCACGCGTACTGTAAACCATTTAAATTTATTTGCAACGTGACAGTCCTGCCGAACAGCTCCCGAACGACTAATATACTTTCGGGAGCGATCCACCCACGTCTCGCCCCGCACCGCACCGCACCGCTGTCCTGTCTAGACGCCTTAACTAACTGTTAGTAGAAGTTAGACTGTGCCCTTACTATTACAAAGTGCAATGCTGAACATAGGCCTACCCATCCCCATAGGTTGCCTCATAGGATAGGAGGGATATTTACCATAGTTGCACATTTTGCAAGCGGGTGGGCAACCGCAGTTTTTATATATTTGACCACCTTAATCATAAATCACTTTTTTATCGTATAAATAATCCTTTAGTATTAATATTCGTTTTAATAATCGTGGATAGAATTACCGCGCTATATTGATTTTGCGATAATAACTACTAACAACCAAAATAAAGAAAATGTTCGTTAGCGTACGGGCAAAACAAAATAAACGTCGAAACACAATATTCAGATTCGTGAAGCAATGCAATGCACGCACACGCGCTGGCAAGCTCGTAAATGACTACCCGATACTATCGAGCCCGCAATCATTTCCAACCGGATCCCGGAATCTAATCGGATTAGCGGAGCCTTCAGCCGTAAAACATTGAATTGAAAAAATTGAACTTACCTCTTTATTTACTTAATAGACGATGGTTTGTAAGTTTTTTTCGCAGGCTATATTATATATTACAATAAAAACTATTTTAATTCGCAAAATAAATATCAACATTTTTGTTTGCATAAAATATATACATTTTTACAACAAAATATAAATTTTTCGCAAGCAGCAATTTTAAAACAAATGAAATAAAAAACGGCAGTTTGATATTATATATCCGACAAAATGGACTAATCAGCAGTTGCCATTAAAACGATGTAGTTTATTCTGGTGCAATAAACGATAATTGATATACACAATCAGCTTTACATAGAAATCTGATAAAAAACGTAGAGTTAACAATAAAATAGAACCCTAAAAATTACCCTGTTTGATCTAGTAAGAATTGGAATATTGTGTTATAGTTACATAAAAGCAAAATAATATCTATTGCGTTGTGATAAGTTGTTAAGATCTAATATTTAAAGAAATTTATTAAAAAAAGAGCTTTGTTAGTAAGAATGGGGCGGCTCGACCGGGGAGGAACCACGCTCTCACAGAATACCAGCGTCAAATACTAGCTTAATGCTACTGTGTTTCGTATGGTGAGTATAGAGAACCGGAGACCCTTTTTACTGGAAACGAGGCATTCCACCTAAGTCCTCACGGGTGACAACGCATCTACATTTTGATTCGTAATCGAGGATAGATGTAGATGTCTATGGGCCGCAGTAACCACTTACCATCAGGTGGACGGTGTGCTCGTTTGTCACCCTACTCTATATAAATAAAATATGATTATTTGGCTTACACATTTTTAGTTTTGAATCTATTATACATTTTTCTAATGTTAACACTGTAAGGTATGCTTTTTATGAAAAAGGATTAAAATTTGTTCTTACCGTAAAGCCTTGCAAGCGGCCGACGTCCATCATGTCATTGGCGTTTTTCGGAATGATGGACGTACACAAGACAGCTTCTTCCAGAGCCGATATCACGTTGTCAGGAGCATTGGCACTCTCGGAGTAAGCCAAGATCTTCTTAACCAGCAGATGGTACTTTTGAATGCGCTGAATGGGCTTAATAAGAAGATCGCCCAGCTGAAAACGATCAAATGTCCATGAAGATAATGCTTATTTTAGCCCTCGTTTGCACATTTTCATTAACATCTATTAAAACTCTAAACAAGTGAACATGTTCAAGCGACACAACATTGAGTTCATTCCATTAAGTGTTCAGTGTGCAGTGTTGTAAGAGTAAGAATAAACTAAAAATATAAGTAAAATAAAACCCCAAAATAAATAAACTGAGAGATTTAATGTTTGTGTGTCTGTACTGTTTCAAATTTTGTGGTTATATAGGCAAGACATGCAGTGATGATAGATCAAAAACACTTCCAACAACGCTCAACGATAACGTTTGACATGTACATAAAATTTTGACAGCCGTGGATGAGATCGAATGATCCAAAACGTACATTCAAAGTGTTTTTGAGGCTTGTTAGCCGCTAGCGATTTTAGGGATTCTTGCTTTTATGAAATAAATAAATAGACGATTCGAGTGTCATATGAAAGCGTCTATTCGACAGGCAATGCTTGGGCTTTATTGCTTACACAAAATATGGCGCATATTGACAACGCAGTGTGCGAGCATCATACTAACACTGGGTATGAGAGGAAAGTAACGATGTATGTATTTTACTCGGCTCTCATACTAATGTAATCAATCTCATACAAATCAATTTGAGAAAATATTTAGCTTATAATTCAAAGCACGGCTGGCACTTCGAAGAAATAGAGACCAAATAATTAATTTATCGTTTTAAAATCGAAATTAAATAATTTAGATCCGAGTCCTTCTACAACTTAGGGTTTGTTCTATATCAAAGAGAGCAAAGTAATTTAACAATTCATGACAATTTTGCAATGAGGAGGACTCGAACTTTAAATGTACCAGCGCTGCTCGAATATTGGACAAATACAGAATGTTACTGGTACCTGGGAAAGAGTTAAGCGAGCACCAGGTAGATGGGATCGCTGTGAAAGTTGAACCTAGAACCCCATGAATGTGTCAACTAGCGAAAGCAGTTTTAAAGCATACGAGTATAATATGGGAATCAATGGTTGTGAGTTCATTAGTGCTTAGTTATTTTATGAAAGATAGATGAGTTAATATAATAAAAGCAACGAATTAAGAATAAAAACGATTTAAATTTAATAATAACACTAAGAGTGATTGTCCACCGCTGCCGTAACCGGGACGTCAATGAGAACGAGATTATTTTAGAGATTGTTTGTCCACCGCGACGATATGTGTAGTTCAGTCAGTTAGTTGTTGCTGTGGTGCGTCGGCGCGGTGCGATATTACGGCGCCGGGGTGGAGGGACAAGTTTAAATGTACTTTGTAGTGGTGGTAGACTTAATGCCTCGTTGGTCTAGTGGTTGTAGTAGTGCGACTGATGATCATGAGGTCCTGCCTGGGTTCGAATCCCGGATCGTGCCAAAAAATTATTTATTGAGTTTTTCCGTCAAGAAATGCTCAGTCGCTGTCCGGAGTCAGGAAGTTGGCGGTGTCTCACCCCCGTGCCTCGGAAAGCACGTAAAGCCGTTGGTCCTGTGTCTGATTTCTCTCCGGTCGTGTCGGTTTACCGTCCCATTGGATTATGAGAGTGAGGGAATAGAGAGTGCACCTGTGCTTGCGCATACACTTGGGCACTATAATCCTGTCCTGCGCCGATGGCTAGTCTCCGTTGAGGCAGGCCGCCGTGGCTGAAATTCGGTCTGGAGGACATTATTACATAGGCCCGTCACACTCGTGCCGAGTTGTAGCGGTCGCGCCGATCTAATCTACACTTCGGCGGTCAGGGTGAAAGCGCTCGGGCGACGGGTTTGCAATGGACAGACGGCTATAACAAATGTATGTGTAGCTACCTCGGCGCCGTCATCTCGTTATCGTTGACGTCCCGGTGATGGCGGCGGACATTCGCTCTAACACTTAATTAGTATTTAAAATATTATACAAGTATGACACAAGTCCTGCCATAATTTAATAACTCAATGGAAACAAAACGTGGATCGAGAAGGCCAAAGACCGCATAAGTTTGAAGCGCACGTTGTAAGAACGTGTTGAGTCAACTTCAAGTGCTTTGGTGATTGGGAGCATTTCAAACAATTACGAATACAAACTTCATGCTTTTCAATTGGTTCTAAATTTGTATGTGTTGTTGCATTAAGTTTATCTGTATGATGTAGGATTTCATGTTTTCGAACAAGTTTTAAATATATAATTAAAAGAACTTTAGTAACAGGTCGTTTGGTATTCCATCTTAGACCTCAGAAGTGGCAACGATCCTGTAGCCTTTTTTGTCAAACAGAAGTTAGCAGCAGGTATCTATTATATATATATAATTTTTTTTTTTTTTTTTATATATTTCTATTGACTGCATGAGCCACTTACCATTAGGCAGACAACTTCAGTTTCAAAAAAGAGAAAAAATACCAACCTGCAGCTTATGGCCCAATTTGTGCCGTAGTTCTTGGAAATAGTGATCGTGCTCGGAGACGATGTATTCTGAGACGGGCTTGTTGCGGCAGTAAGCCTCGTAGAGGAACATCCTCTTTTCCAGAAATCGACGGAATAAAGGCCCAAGCAGCTCCGGCGATTTCATGCAGGCTTGGAGCTCGCGCAAGAATTTGCTGCACAGAGCAAATTCTCATTAAAAAGTCACCAGTTTCGGAACGGCTATCCACTGAGTGTTTATTCGCCAGCACCACAGCGTTGATCGTAACTTTTAATAAATAATATTTTATATTTCGACGTAACGAACATTCACACACTTTCATGTACATTTTCTATGAGTTAGTTAATTTACTTGCGAGTTTTAATGCGAAATTTATTGAGAATGAAGTATAAGAGAAAATATGTGAATATTCATTTAACGTAAATTGTTTCAAAGTATAACGAGATGAAGACACACGAACATAATAAAATCGCAGAGCGAGCGGAGCATCATTCGCTTTAGCATACATATAATAATATACACAAGCGTTTTGTCTGTTGCGACACAGTTACGAGGTGAACTGGCAATTATGCCTTATCATTTAATTGTCTAGCGAATATTTCTTTTTCCTCGACTGATTAACCTTTACTACGTTTGGAAAAAAATTCGAACAGTCGAATAAAACTATAAATGATATTGCTTGATTAGTTTCTTGGGATTTTATAAGACTTGGTATTATAATAAAAACGTAGTAGAAACGATACTAACTCTAGGTTGTGTGGAAATAGCATAAATATAAAGTACTCACTCTCGGTGCCACTCGTAAATAGCTTCGATGTTCCCAAATATCATGCGGTGGCGACGATCACGAAGCCCTTCTGGTAGAGGCGGGTCGGCTGACGGATCCTATATATAAAATAAATAATAGGCTTATTGATTTTTTTACATAATAAAGATGAGAAACGAGTACACAATCCGCCGAAACACCTGAATGTAAGTGTATGCTGTGGCCCATGGATAAAATAGTTTAATGTAGATGACATTTATCCTCAATTAAGAATCTTGCATTACTGCCCAATTTTTAAGTGCGGCGACAACTACAGAATCTTAATTCATCGTAAAGGTTCGTGGATGGACAAGAGCTTCTAAGGAAGATTTGTCTTCATCGCCAAGTTAGGCAGGCGCATTGGCGATCGTATTAGCAGATGTCTCGCACTTTTCACACTGCTCACCGTCGTCGGTCTGGATATTTTACGTCTGGCATCAACGAGACGGTTTATGCTGTCATCCGAAGCAATGAGATTACTCTGGTCTTCCCCGTATAAGCTTTTTACTAAATAACAACTGTTACTTTGGAATAACTATCGGAAAATAGCAACTGTGACCACAGGGACTTGTAACAAGACGGGATTTCTTAACGTCACTAATGTATGCGTTAACATAGAGATACACAATTCTCTTAGCCTACGCGTGCCGCTGTAACGCATTAAGAATAAGATCAGGATAATAAGAGAAATAGAATAAAGATAAGGTAACTAGGACAGGGTGCCAAAAAAATTGAAGCTTATAACACAATACGTAAAATAGCAAACGTGTTACAAATCCAGGATTCACGGCGAAGTGGCTAATACGTGGTAGAGCCATGCTGCAGTCATATTAGTAGTATAGTTGTAGCACGAATGGTTCGGTTCTACCTGAGAAGTACCACGCTCTCACAGAATACCAGCGTAAAATAGTAGCTTAATGCTGCTGTTTCGTATGGTGAGTGTAGAGAACCGGCGACCCTTTTTACTGGACACGAGGCATTCCATCTTGGTACTCAAGAGTGACAACGCATCTGCATTTTGATGATTTGAAGTCGTAAGTATTTAATCATATAAATTAAGTCTTCTGTTTGGTTCATTAATTATTGTCGGTGTTATTTTCAACTAATTAATGAAACAGACTATTTACAGTGCGCGGATAGTTAAACAATAGAAACGCAGTCCCACTTTGTTAGAGCGATGCCGAATAGTGAGTTCTGTTGCCCCGCTGCATATGCCATATTAGCGCTCTATTTTTATTTAATTTAATAATAATATATTAAAAATAATGTCTTCTAGATCGAATTTCGGTCACGGCGGCTTGCCTTAACGGAGATTAGCCATCAGCGCAGGACAGAATTATAGTGCCCAAGTAGTAGTATATAGTAAGCATAAGCACATATGGGGCGGTAAACCGACACGACCGGAGAGATCAGGTGCAGGACCAACCGGCTTTACGTAATTTCCGAGGTACGGAGGTGAGACACCACCAACTTTCTGACCACGGGCAGCTGCTTAGAATTCCTTCATTCCACCCGTGGTTCGAACCCGGGAGCACATGATCAGCGATAAAGTTTACAACCGCTAGACCAACGAGGCAGTCATTTTATTTATTTATTATTATTTTTGCTTATTGTATTTATTCATAAAACTATACAGTAATATCATAAAAATAGTTTATCGTGTCTTTAAAAGTTTTTGAAACCGTTATGTCCCGTAATGTTTTCATTTCGCGTAAGCCTTTTAAAGAAAAACTAAAATCTCTTTCACTGCTACTACCGGGGTTCATGAAATTGAAATTCCTCACAAAGCTAGTATCGAGTAGTTCACTTTATTGCTTGGCGTCATAAATATTAAATTCCGTAGATAAATGTCCTATAGCTCGGAGGTAGACACACTATTTGCTCCCGGAATAAAGCTGCTTATTGGATGTATAGCACTGAAGTGTGAGTGAGGTAAAAATTGCACTTTAAGCCATGCTTGCGTTCAGTGCGTCAAAAATTTAAGAATGAAAACATTACGAATAAAAATGAGTAGCGATCTAAGTGTAATAAAAATAAATAATAGATATGTTCACTTGACGTAAATGTAGAAACTATTTTATTTATAACTGTTAATTAGTTTTTATGTAGAACAAAATGAGATTTAATCTGTGTTCTTAAGCCCAGATAGAGGTGGTATACTAGGGAAAGCTGTCCTGTTTATTTTAGCGGCTTTAGGGTTTATTATAGCGGCTAAAGCTGCTACTGTTTATTTTACATGTAGAGACCCTGATGCTGTCGGAAGTGCAGTGATTAAGAAATTATGCTATTATCATTATGGCAAAAGAAGAACTGAACTAGGTACCACTTATTTCGTCAGTGCGAAGACCGTCTTTGTGTTAAATCAAATTTGAGAAGTTGCGTAAAGTAGGTAAGTATAATTTATATTAATCAACAGAAACCGTTTAAAAACAACTTGAAATTTCAATCGAATAAAACTTTTTTAATTTTATTTTTGACTGACGAAACACGCTGTACAAAATACAACGTGCAAATCAGGTATAGGCATGCTTGACAACTGTACCACACCGGCTCGCTTGTGGCCTTTTCCTGGCCGGTCTCTATTCGTACGTGAAGGGGTGTATGAGAACTCTATCATTACGAAAATTCACGCCGCTGGAACGCATTCCGTAACGCCTCTGTTTAGCTAAAGATTGCGATTCCATAACGGGTTACCGTTGTATAATTTTATTCAACAAACTCAAAAGTGAGATTAAGATTGAAAGACTATGTTTATAACCACCCAGTTTATAAGCTTATGGAATGTTTGCAATGAAGTCAAATTAGTTAAAATATACACACATCTATCCGATAGTTTATACAATACTAATCCAAATTAATCCATTATTTAACATGTAGGGAAAGCTTGCTTACCGCCATGTGGCGCATATATCCATCACAAACGAGGCGGAGATCGGACACGTATATCTCTTCGGTGTCGACGAGCTCACGGAGTACATATTCCCGCTTCTTGAGGATGGCTTCGGCGCTGTCCGGGCCAGGAGTAACAGGCTCCTCATCTTCACCGCCGTTCGTCCCCCCACTAGCACCGCTACAAGCGCCAGCCCCACCATGCTGTTCCTACTCGACCGATTGACATTTTCCATTAAATAATATTCATATTACTGTTTTGTATTTTTCTTTTTTATGTTAAACACAGAAATATACTGCTTTCAATTCTATTCAGAAAATGAGTTCTTAAATAACCGGCGGTAGAAACAGAAACAGGAAGTTTCTTTAATCAATATATAATATAAATATTACTTAAAACTTATATATAGATATCGAATTATATTGTAGTGGTATGTGCCTCGATCCTACAAGTAGTTTTATAAATACATGTACCTACTCTTATGTTTAGTAAACAGTATTAAAGAGATATTATAATGGGAGAGTCGTTTCTATTGGTCCGACCACCACAATATAGATGACATACAAAAAGAATCTCCCAAGCTCAAAGACAGAAGAAAAGAGATATTAAATAGGTAGTTATAACAATACTGATTCTTTTTAGGAGTCATACCATCGTGCTGTTACGTTTAATGCAAACTTAGTTATCTGATTAAAAGTATTTAATATTATTAGATAAGATAAGAATGTATGTACAACTATGCTGTTATATTTTAATAGACATATGTATATAAGTCAATTAGATTTAAACAACACTAATTAAAAGCATTATCTAAAAATTACCGAAAATGTGTTATTTAATAATCTCAGTATGTTACATTAATGGGAATACGTAAACTAAATATTATATAGACACTAGTGAAGATATAATGTAAATGGATACAAAAATATTTTCTAGTATCTATAAATTATCTACAAACAACGGAAAATAAAAAAAAAAACGGATCATAGATAGTTTAAAGTACAGGTTCGGCAAGGAGAAGTCATAAGCAATAAATAGGTGCATGCAAAAAGGTAAACTTGGCACAGAAATTCCTACTGTACAAAAAGCAATTCAACTCTAGACACAAGAAATATTTAAAAATAAAAAAAAATCGGCGAATTGTTTAAGAAACGACGGCCCAACTACCAAATAAAACAGCTATTAAAAAAAACAACACAAAAATAAAAAAATATTTTCAAATACTGTGACTGTGTTCAACATACACAAACGATTTAAAAATTAAAAAAAAATCGGCCAATTGTTTACTAAACGACACAACCAGCTACCGAATAAAACAGCTATTAACAAAAAAAAAACACATAAAATAAAAAATATTTTCAAGTACTATGTTTAATTAGTGTTCAACATACATAAACGATTTCAAAAGAACTACATATATGAACGGTACACGACTGTAATAAATATTAAGCGGACAGTTTATATTACAAATACTCATGCACACTCTACATGCTTTAAATTGAATCGAACCATTTTTTCTTTCACTATTTGTTCAATTTCCGCAATATCCGCCGGACCACCGTTAGAGTCCAGGACGTCCAATGCCAAGGAGTTCTGAAAATTGCACCAATTTGTCACCCATAGAATATCACAAGCGCCCCGGGTTAGTAATAAGTAACAGTTAAGATAACGGAGCGTGAAAGTTATTGGTTGAAACGTATGCAGTGGTAGAACATCGGGAGAGTAAGAAAATTCGTATGTGTTGGAGCGGATGGACTCACGCGAGTTGTTGGAGCCGAAGCGACGGCAGCGGGCGTCGGTGCCTGCTGGAGCACTGATTGCGGATCCTGTATAAATACGATTATTATTATTAATACAACTTATAGTGTGCCGGTGTAGTTATTTATTCAAAACCTAAAATTTTATAAGCCACAGTTAATATACTAATATGTTAAGGCCTTGCCCCAACTTAGACACCGTAAAACGTCCAGTCTTCTTGTCGCACAGTTAGACGTATCCATACATATTACGAGCCAGAAAAAAATACAGTGTCAAGTGTTTAAAGAAAAAAAATATTTATATTATTTCTCATAGAAAGGCGATTTTTTAAAGGTGCTCTAGCACCTTTAAAAAATGGCCAGACAGAACTCCAACAAACTTTTTCTCTCTCTTCTTTTTAAATCTAGAAGGTATAATCGTAATACAACATAGTATACAATTGTTTTATATTGATGACTAGTTTAAGTAGTAGTTTAAGTACACATTAATTAACATTTTGTTATTGATTTTTGTGAGTGTTTTTATTGATTTCCTGTATTTTAAGTACTTTTGAAGTACTAGGTCACGGTTTCAACCGCGTCCGTAATTTTTTATTGTAGGTCTCGGTCTTGGCTAACATCAAAATCTAGCCTCGGTCAGACCTTAATAAGATAATCGCTAGCATCATTTAGAATTACAAAAACATGATCATGATGAAAATGATAAACCATTTTACTAATAATGCACAGAACAGAACTTTTATGAACACACAACACGATATATCGAAAATGAAAGATGGGTACAATCACATTTTCGGTATAGTGAATTAGAACATTCACTCATCAATGAGTGGGCATGTCAACGCAAACAAAATTTAATCCGACGCAAACTTCTGAAGCCGAAATCGGCAGGAACGCGGTTCATTATCTGTCATAATTCAAATAGAAATCACTTTAAACATATTACCGATGTAATACAGAAAAGTCCGATTTAGTATACAATTTATGAGTTAATATAGCATGGTTATTACGCGCTTATTATCGTTAAAGTGCTCGTCGGTAAACTCGACCGTTTCCGTGCGCTCCCCTAGATTGCATGATGAGGCGTAATCTCGTCACTCAACTGCATAAAATTTTTTCTACTTTAAATTGTAGCGATTTGCATCAGCATAGAGATTAAGAAGATTATATTAAGAAAGTACTATCTTGTTTTGGCCGCATTAGTTGAATTTTGACAGTAGAAGCATGAAGGTCGCTATATGTTCCCAAATGACAAATTTTTGTAAGAAATCGATAAAAGTCAGTTAATGGGTCTCACATGACCCATTCTTAATTTTATTAGAAATAATTAGTCAATAAAATATATACTTGTGGGATTAAAAAAGTTTTTTCGTGTGATGCAGTAAAACCTTTTATTTAATTTTAATTTGTTCGGAAAACCACTTTTAACAAATAAATTTACATTAAATCGTATAACCTAAGCAAAGACTTGTTTAAGATTTCCCTAGATTGTCACTACCTATGTAATTAAAAGAGATACGCTTTCTTCTCGCTACAAGATCCTCGGTACTCCAATACACGCCGTAATATTATGTGCGTAAAATTTTTTAATAGCTTTATCACAAATAACTATTAAAGAGTTTTTGTATATTTCTGTTTTCTTTGATTTATTTCTTTTTGTAAAAATATCAATGTTTGAAAAAATATGTACGTGAGAAACACATGCGATTTATTAGTGAATTTTTCGTATAATTTTTTGTGTTAAGTAGGTGAGGCGAACTTGATAAGTCCGAGTAAATGCGAATTACCAAGGCGTTTGTGAATAAGGCCATACAGCGTAATTTAAACATTTTTCTTCTATCCCCTAATTCTAATGAGACTATGAATTTTAGAATTTGTTTTGTAATATAATATGTTGTTACCATATTCTAAAATAATGCGTGTAAAGGTATAGTTTAGTATAGTAATTGAAAACTGGATAATTTATAGAAGGGTTGGCATGAAATTTAATTGGAGTCAGTCCTAAAATATTTGAAGAAAAAAAAGATAACTATTGTCATTAAGCATATGTTATCACAATTGCATGATAACAAATAAAAAAATTTTGCATTCCACAGTATAAATATTCGTACTATTCAAACACATTACGTGAGATTATTTAATGGCGTGTGGTCATTCCTTAATCTATACAGAATCAAGATATACGCACGCTTCTATATATAAAGTGTAACGAAGTTACCAGTACCGCGTAGTAGTGACCATCATCGTTACAGCTCTTCACAAGTCCATAGCTGAACATAGGCTTCCCCAAAGAAATTCAGAAAGCCCCGTACTGACCATCTTACATATATCAACTTCCAGTATCACTTACAAGGTCGTCACTTCATCTAGTGGATGGTCATCGACCACTTCGCTTACCGGTATGAGGCTGCTTCTCGAACTTTTCTTTCCTATAAGTTGTTTGTAGCAACTTGACATTACCACTTCAGCTAACTGATCCGTTGGAACCAGAATGATCAACATAGCATACTAAGTATATCTATTAAAATTGTGGTCTTTCATCATTCGTCAGTGATTCGTATCATTCACCAGTGATTTCCCAATTGGCGGCACTGAATAGAAACATTCCATTCATGCGCTACGCTTGAACTGAATAGCAGGCTTCGCATTTGACCTGCCTGAATGGATAACGATGTGGAGCGGACGCTTACCAATTTATCATAATAACACATAGTACGTACCCGAAGGGTCGCTATGCCACACACGTCCGCTGTGCTAGGTACTCTTACTCTATCTAGATTTGAGTTTCTAAACAATTTACGCCTTTTATTTAACGTCTTTCATACAACAATAAAAATGTGTACATCGTTTATTATTACTTTTAGATTGGATGTCAAGTAAGTGAATGAATTCAGATTAATGCATAATTAAATTACAATTCCATCTTGAGTATTGTGATATAAGTACTTTTATCTTGTATGTATAAAAATATTTCGAAGGCATGTGAAGTTCGCCAAGAAGCATTGGGGCAACGCGGCGGATACTTCTTTGCCCTAAAACCTTCTCAGAAATGAGACGAGGCCGGTGCCCAGCAGTGGGACGTGATAGGCTGTAACTTTAACTTTATTAAGTACCTGTATGTGGCTAAGGGGCAATTTTCAATTATCAGATACAAGTAATTCTTAGGATAAAACATGACATAAACGAATGAAAAAATACACACACACACACACACACACACACACACACACACACACACACACACACACACACACACACACACACACACACACACACACACGCACGCACTCACGCACGCACGCACGCACGCACGCACGCATGCACGCACGCACTTTACTATTATTCTTGAAACCGGTGACAATGTTATCGCTAAGGGGCAGCAATATCTAATTATTACAACATTGGAATAGCTTCCATGAGAACAGTGGTGCATTCGTTCTGTTGTTTTTTCTTAAATCAGCACGTAAGCAAAAGATCTGGGGTAGTCGATTACACAACTTCCTTGTGGTATCAACTACCACCAGCAACTTTGCCGGATCGATACGACTTGAGGGACCTTCTCTTTTTTATAAGGCCGACAACGTATCTCCATTTCCCCTGGTGTTGCAGTTGTTCATGTGCGGCGGTAGACACGTACCAGCAGGTGAGCCGCATGCTTGTGTTCCCCCTATCATATTAATGTTAGACAATCAATTAAAATGATTTGGTACATATATCATTTAATTCCCCGAAAGACACAGACTCGAACTACGTTTATGCATTTGTTTCGCCTTGTATCGCTCATCACTTAATACTGATTGGCAATCAGTCAAAATCGTAATACCCTTGAGTTGGGGACTTAGTATGATCCTTTGAAATGATAGTAATTTTGAATGTATGTTTGTATGTTTACTCTAAATATCTCATACTACAAGTAAGCTGAACAATTTAAATTAACTCATCAAACAGAAAAAAACACGGGTATTCTTTCCTTTTCATAAGAGCTTTTATGTAGCCGATATTAATTATACTTTCTGATTTTCCATTCATTACATTAAAGTAATATTTCTGTCATTATTAATTCTTGTCATAAACTTAATAAACACACAAAAATATTTAAAATATGTCAAAGAAATAAACATGGTTATATTTACCACTTCCATAGTAAGCGTTGTTTAAACGATAAGAGCGACTGGCTTAAAATTATCACAGATTATAGAATAGGTTTGGTGTCATTTTTTACTTTTGTTTTAAGGTTTAACAACCAACCTTCCTTAAAGTTGAAATATAAGTATAAATAATAAATAAAATATTGAGATGAAAATATAATTGTACACTTTTTTATGCTAGTTCATAACACGGGTGAGCCGATTATATATTTTTTATATATTCCTTTTCCTTTGAAAACGTACCTGACGCTTGTATTTTCTTCTCTATCTCGGAGGCATTTCGTTTTTGCCAAAAGATTACTTTACAAATTTACAAAGAGAAAATATTATTTACTTCGACTTGTGGGTGGGTATTACATCAAGTGGGCGTACATAGTTATATCATAATAGATTTAGATTTTCATTTTATGTGTTCAACTCTCCTTACCAATCAAAAATCATATAACATGAATATCCATTATCAAATATCGCCCTTTGGTTGTCGTAAGAGGTAACAGAGGGCAACTGAAACCGGAGATGGCAGCAGTTCATTATAACAACTCAAAATAATTAAAAACTGCGGTTGCCAACTCAGCTGCCAAACGTGGCAGCGATGGCAAGATCCCCGTATTAGCAATTTATCGGGAAAGCCTATGGTCAGCAGTGGACTTTTATAGACAGCAATGGAACGGAATGGTCCTTGTAATAATCAAAGCCCCCCACCAACTCGCACAGTTGATTCAACATACCTGTATCGGTTTCATTGGCGGCGGCAGTTCCACGTCCGGAGCGTCATCTTCTGCCTCATCCAGGGCTGCAGCGCCACCTTGCGGGCCTTCGGAACCCTCCTCGCGTCCGTTGTCATTCACGTACGGCAACTATGTAATAACATCAAATTATTAAAGAAGGAGTTTTATTATATATTTAATAACGAACAGAATATTTATATATGTGATTAGTTGGATTTTCTTCAAAAACGTAGTAATGTTATTTATCTTTATTTAAAACTTGCGCTTCATAAAAACCGAATTTAAATATTTTAGCCTAATAAAATGAAACGAAATGAAACGCCTTTATAATTTCTAAATAAATTTCGTTTGTCAAATGTCTGTTTTTTTTAAACCCACTAAAATATACCATTGTTTCTATATGGGATGCATCTGATCGGAGAGGAAACGGCGAAAGAAACTCAAAGTATCCTTTTTTTGTCCTTCTTTAAAAGTTAATATTAGTTAACTTTGTATAAACGAAATAAAAAATGACAACAGACCCATCAGTAGATGATACACGTTCGATTAGTTATTAACAAAAAAAACACGATTAATAATTTGTACGGTGTTAGTCTAAAATGAACTAACTCCATCCGTGCATTTCCTGTATGTTTTATCCGATTATCACTATGTATTACTGCATTCCGTACATACTTTCCTTTCCCATGGGTTCACATAGCTATAGTATGGCTCCCAAAAATCAATCAAAGTATAAGTTATCATAGGTGTTAGATACCTACATGTACCTGTGTGGCTATTCGATGTAAGGTAGTTCACATAACATACTAGTCATTTCCTTCATTAACTTTTGCGAAATCCGAGTGAGTGGCTAATAATATATTCGTCACACGACGCCTACGGAGACATTGTTTTGAAAATTATGTCACGTTAATTGCGAAGTCTAAGACATGAATTACAATTACGCCTCTAGTACAATAATTACTAAATAAATTCATAATTATACGGTCTTTAAAATTCTTGTTTCATTTATCTTATTTTAAGTAAACACAATTTAAATTTTATACTAATAATACTAGAAGCGTTTCTTTTGTATTTTCAACTTTCATTTAATTCACGTACACGAAGTTTCTTTTCAGATGGGATCTTCTTGAGTTGCACTGGCTTCTCGGTCGCGGCCGGGGACTGCGCCCCGCCCGGAGCCTTGTCCGCCTTACCCTGGGACGGCTTCCCTTTAAGCCCGAGCCACCGCCGCCTGCAAAAAGTAACTGCGATTAATAATACAAATCAAATTTTGATAAGCGTAATTAACATTGATTCAACGTACAGTTGGACTAAGACTATGATATTATTACATTTATATAACCGTCATCATCACCACTACAGCCCTTTACAAGTTACACTGCCGAACATAGGCCTCCTCCAAGGATTTTTTTATAGGATGGGGTGACAAACGAGCAGATAGTCTACCTGATGGAAAGTAGTTGCTGTGGAACATAGCCATCTACATCTATCCTCGATTACAAATCAAAATGCAGATGCGTTGTCACCCGTGAGCACTACGATGGAATACCTCGTTTCTAGTAAAAAGGATCTCCAGTTCTCCACACTCATCATAAGAAACACAGCAGCATTAAGCTACTATTTTACGCTGGTATTCTGTGAGAGCGTGGTCCTTCCCCGTTCGAGCCGACCCATTCGTGCTACAACTATACTAATAATACAACTTTAGCATGGCTCTACCACGTAGAAAAGAAATACCACACAACACGGTCCTGTGACACTTGCATCCATCGACTTCCTGCATGTCCTACCAAGTCGTCACTCCATCTAGTGGCGGGTCGCCCTACACCTCAATAAATGAACAAATAAGTAATATAATTAATGTGGCATCCATTTTTGGTTTTTTAACAAGGTTTTCGGATAAAATACAGCTAAGATCACTCCTGGTATTGTACTCTATGTCTGTTCGTGAAGTTTCATCATAACCCGGTCAGCTATGCGGAAGATTATCCCGGACAGTCCGAGAAAATTTTGAAAATGAATATTCATGTCCTATCGACATGCAAATAACAGCCTCGGCTCAAAATAAGGCAGCCATTTCAGTATTATTCGCAGAAAATTCAATTTTATATACATGTACATTTGTATGGATGTAGTTACACCGTGGTCGCTCTTTGGTAAATTTAATTTTGGCTGCTTACTCGTATAATATTAATTTTACATTTGTAATTGTTCATTAATTTCACAAGAATTTTCGCAATTTTCCGATTGCCAATTTTCACCGAGGAATTAAAAGCTAAAAACGTTAACTAGTAGCCTATATTATTTGCGCTTCACTGCTAAGACAATCCTTTTTTTCTGGTTATGGAGCAATGAGGACTTATAATAATCTTTCGTTCACCAGATGATCCTAGTAGTAACTGAGGTGAAGTTTTATGTTACACAATGTCATTTAATTGAATAATTGCGTTATAAATAAAATTTTATCGGTATTTATAATTTATAATATTAGATAAATACACAAAACAATGCTTCAGTGGTTTGTTGCTTAATGTTTTTCACATTTTTGAATAACTTTTCAATTTTTCTACTTTTACGAATATATTCCTATTATTTATTTCCAATGTAATTTTTGTAAAATATAACTAATTTTATAAAAAGGGAGATTACCACTTACATTATTCAAACAAATTAACTTTACCACAATGTAATTTTTTAAATATTTCACCTCGTTTCTACGTGGCATCACAACCCGGTGGCAAAAAAAGGTAGTTGCTCAAGTGCAATCATACAAAATTCACATATCCATGAAACAATTTTATTCCCCGGACAAGCAAGTAGACTCACGATGAAGAACGAAGAAGTAATTAATAATTATTGCCAAAACTCGTTTTTTTCTTAATATAGTAGTTATAGCATACGAATTTGTGTTTTTATCTCCATCCTCGTCCTAGTTTTGGTTTATGGGGCGGTTAAGCTTAAGGTGACTACGTACCTGATTATGAGTTGTTATCAGAAAGATGCGGCTGCCAATCACCTGTTTCAATTTTCCTGTGTCGCCTCTTACGACACCCACAGGACAAGATGGGGTAGAGGGTATTCTTACACCACAACTACACGAGTAACAATATTTTTATAATTTTCGAAGACAAATTAAGGTTGATGCATGTCAACAATAATCATGTTTGTAGGCTTATTGTCTCTAATATTCCTAATATCCTTCAGTCCAGACGCTCAATAAAAACTCAATTATTTGACGAGCGAAGTCGACTACCGCAAACGTCGCGTCGTTTAATACGGTCGCCTTTTCACATTTATTATTTTTGGTCGGATATCTTTTTTAACTTCCCGCTGAAAATTTTCAAAAATAGGGAAGTTATTGGTTTCACCCCGATTTTCGAAAATTGAGTTTTCATCAGATCTTGACGTTTTTAGATCCCAGGAAGCTATTCTGATTAATTTCACCTAGACGTCCGTACGGATGTATGTATGTACGTGTGTGTGTAAGTATGTAAACCTTTCCTAACTTTTGAATGTCTTGATCGATTGAGATGCGGTTTGCGGCGTTCTAAAGATCTAAAATTCTAAAGATCTAAATGTGGAATAGATTTGGTGATAATATGAACTAATTCGGACGAGTAGATTTTGGGAAATCTCAAAAATAAAATTTTAAAAAACTGTTTTTTGAAATAAATTTTAAACAGCTTTACCGGTCGATTTCACTAACTAGCTCTTAACCTCAAAAAATGACGTCGAATGCTGTTTGAAAAATAAACATCGGTTCATTCGTTCGTGAGATATCGAAGGAGAAGGAATTTGAAAAAAATGTTTTTTTTTAATATAACTCGCGCGATTTTGCAACATAATTTGTTGAAATTTGGATCGCTTTGCATTTGAAATTAGCGGGAAGTTCCAGGGATGGCCTGCACGGTCAACCAATTTTTTTAAGTTGTATCCCTTCAGGGAGCCAATTAATTAAAGGCTATCACGGTTTTTGCCTTGTATTTATGCTTCTTAGTTTACAGTTTCAAGTAGTTTCAGTTTCAGGTAGTCTTTACAAATAACCACACAATTATTTTGTCGGCATCAAATATCGATAATTTGTAGTTTTCAGATTTTTACCGTTGATACGACTAATGATCTACTTTAATGCCATTGCAGTCATTGGGTGATAAAAATAACACTTTTCAGCAGACCTTTATAACTCTGGAACTAATGTTTTTATTCTAAAAAATTCAAATTCAAGATATACAAAGATCTTATTAAAGGTATGTAAAATTCATATATGAGTCAGTGTAACAGTTTTTAAGTTACAAGGAGTTCGAAAGTGGCTCGCAGTTCGTGAGAATATACGCACTGTCGAGGAGTTCCCCCACTTTTTCAAACTTGGCTGTCACACTGCCGTGTGTCTAGAATTTATACAAAACGCAATGAATGGTAAACCTAATAGCAAACTATTCGTAAACACGTTAGCTAACAAAAAGTCGTAAAAAGTACATAGATAAATAATGCCATTATATAATTAAGCATCCTAAAATGTAAGTCAAATTTAGATTGCTCATTAGTCCATGACGGTATTCGAAATGAAACGCGACGCAAAAATGTGCTATAAAACAGCAACTAAATTCAAGTTCGATTTAACGTTGCCTCATTCCAAATATAGTTAGCGATTTAAACATTCTCTGTTCTCGGATTGCTAACCGCGAATGGCATGAGTCGACAATGATATCAAATATGTAATTAGACACATAAACCACATTGCTAGGATTATTCGTCAATCGACTCCCGGCCGCATTAGGACCGCAGTCAGTGGTCGCAATCCGCATAAAAATAACCTATTTAATGCTGATATACATTTAACCATACCTGGTTGGAATGGGTTGCACATGAATTGTATTTCACGAAAGTGAATAAATTTAACTAAAGAGTCAAAATAGGATCATCGCTGATCATAAGATATTTATTAGTTATAAAAAATAAGTTAATACTGATTGAAACTTATTTTTATTTGTTGAAGAATAAAAGTAACAAACGAGCACACAGTCCACCTCATGGTAAGTGGATACTGTGGCCCATAGACATCTCCATCTATCCTTGATTAGGAAGCAAAATGCAGATGCTTTCTCACCCCTACGAACTAAGATGAAATGCTTCGTACATAGTAAAAAGAGTCTCCAGTTCTCTGTATTCACTATACGAAACACAGCATCATGAAGCTGCTATTTTACGCTGGTATTCTCATAGCAATGTAATATAAAAATCTGTCATAATATAAACATCAGACATAATTTTGAAAACTGATAAAGTGATTATCATCACTATAATTACAGCCTATCACAAAACTACTGTCACCGTTGAACTTGACTAACCCAACGGATTGCTAGGTGGCGGGCCCGCACCACAACATGTGTACCGTGGTACGAGGTTGCCACTCCAGTTAACAGCAACGACACACAAACAATATCAGTTAACTCAAAATAACATTAGGACTAATTAAAAGATTAAATTCCAGTTCAATAAGTAAATTAGGTTATAGAGCATTCGACTATTGTGAAATCACAGCAGTTATAATAAAGTTCGACTAAATCGATAATTAGTATTTGTCTCTACATACAAAGGTGTGCGATATCACAAAGGGGATTAATTACTGACGGGCTCTTCTATGGGTAAATACAAATGATAACCCTGCAATGATATTCATTTGATGGATATACCAGATAACATAAACTATAGTATGTACGCTACCGTTTAGTTCAATTTATCTAGTTTTGTGGCAAATTCAATGATTTTCGATTATACATGAAAAATATAACATTATTAATATTTGACGTATATCAAGAAAATTAGGGAGTAGGATAGTTTGTCTTAATAACAGATTAAAATATGATTGATGTAATAATAAAAGAAGATAATAGAAATAAAATATAGGAAAAGACAAAATAGAAAGGAACGTACAAATTAAAATGAAGAATTAAAACTAAAAAACTATATTTTTATATATAATGTACGAGAACTTAAGGTTTAAATCAAACTCGAAGCAACGTCCGGCAAGCAAGAAAGTGGCAAATTGTGTTATTTTGCTTATGTTGGGATGAGTTTATTAGAAAGCTGTTTAGAATTTGTATAACCATCATACCGTGATTTATCGTTTTTTTTTTATATTTTAAGTCATTGCATTGTAAATGTTTAATTACAGTAAAGTGAATGTAAATATATACGAAAAGACAAAAATTTTAAGGAACTGTGTTGGAA